AATTTATAAAATAAGCTTATTAATATTATTTAGGAAACTTTGTTTGGCCGTCAACATTTGGGATAGTATCCTTTGGAATTTTTTGATGATTTTTGTTTAGAATCTTATTCATTATGTCTAGTTTACTCATACCAAATTTCACCTAAAATTCAATCGGGAAGACATTCAAATGAATTCTTGAAGATAACTGCGCAGTTAAAAGCGCAGTTATCTTCAAGAATTGATTTGAATGTCTTCCCCGTTTAATTGTTAGCTGAAATTTGGTATGAGTAAACAAGACTTAATGAGTAAGATTTTCAAAAAACTTCATCAAAACATTCCACCGGGAACTGCCCCAAATGGCGACGGCCGGACAAAGTCTCTTATAAAAGGACTTATTTGACCTTTTTGGTTAGTATGTGGGATTATTTGCCCCGTTTTCCTTTTTTTTTTCTTTGTTGGCTAGGGCACTAGGGTTAGGGATTTAGGATAATGAGTATTCTAAATACTAGTATATTTGAATGCTTATTGAATAATTGAAATTGTAATTTGTTATTTTGATTCATCGAAATATTGAACATACTTATAATTTTTATATTTGATTAAATTTAGTGAATTAAATTTATATCTATGAACCATTAACTTATATTTAGTGATAGTATTATTTTGAATGAAATTTTATGTTTTGTGATGATTGGAAAACAAAATATGAATCAAGATGTACAAAGACAAAGAAAAAAATTAAGAAATGATTGGTCATGAAATCACTTTCCGACTCTATCGATTGGTATGTTGTACGTAAGCACAAAACCTTCTCCCTCTAGGGTTCTTTGTATTTTTTCATCAACTTTGATCTTCTGATTTCGAAGAATATTCTCACTGTGTTAATAGTATATGATGTATTTTATATGTAATTTTCTTATATTTAATTGCTATTTTTTATATCATTGGGTTAAATAAAACATATTCAAAACAAAATTTCTACATGATCGTCTAGGGCCTCATAATTGCTCTAGCCGGCTCTGTTCCGCACTCGAGTATATCAGCTCTATGTATTGCCTTAAAGTTGCACTTCGGAAAGCCACAAGTCAAAGCTGCCAGCCACCAGCCAATGCTACGACAGATCGCCACCGGCCAAAGCTGTAGCAGATTGACACCGGAAAAAGTCACTGCAAATCACAACCGGCCAAAGCTGTGGCAGATCGTCGTCGGCCAAATCTGCAGGCATGTCGCCGCCGGTCAAATCTGCGGCATATCTCCTCCGGCCAAATCTGCGGCATATCCCCGCCGGCCAAAGCTGAGATCCTTCACACAAAAAACTAAATGGGTTAAAATTAGAAAAGACATTATTATCAAATGTGAAATGACGGACACAAATTACATTCTTAACTAGATTGGGAGCATAGAATCCTTGTCGGATGAATCCTTCGGAGGCCATGGCAAACTATCATATGAAAACCTTGTCTTCTCAATGAATGAATACATATGGAACTCTCTTTTGGATTTTGAAAGTAGATGCATGAAAACATAGTAGGAGCCTAAGAGACTATTTATCATTGAATCACTACACTTGAGAAATAGAAATCGGGCACTATGAATATCTGATTTTTCCTTTACCTTCACTCTTTTGTAATAATATATTTATCTCTTCTTCTAGATTTCTTTGTCTATTGTATACTATTTTAAGAAATGATTACATATTTATGACTAAAATTAAGGTTGATTACAAAAAAATGTGACCTCTTTCGTGGAGTCACTATAGTAGTAACTAATAGTTACTAAAATTAAGGTTGATTACTCTATTTTAATATTACTGCTTCACCCGCCAAGATGGTGGTAGATGTCTATTGGTGATCACCACCACCCGAGTGGATTGCTCTTAACACGAACGAATCAATTATACGTGATATCGAGCAAGCAGTTGCGTGAGGTTTGTTCCGCGATGGTGATGGTCGCTGCTTGGCAACTTATAGCATGAACCTTGGTATCTGCTCGATCACCAGGGCTAAATTGACCTGATTGCAGTTGGCTTGGGAGAATGGATATAGGAAAGTACGGGTGCGGCTGGATTCACGTGCTGCAACCTAGCTTCTCATAAGCTAGGGCCGAGGAGATCTCACACACCAACATTCTTCTGAGGTCGCCGATTTTCGTGAGCTGTTGGAGCGAGACTGGATGATTAAGGTTGAACACATTTATCTGGAAGGCAGTCAGGTTGTTGACCATTTAGTTGGTTTGTGTCATAGTTTACCACTTGGTGTACAAGTTATTTCTAGGAATGATCTTACTTTGTCGTCTCTTTTATTGTATGACTTTTTTGGGATTTCCCAAGCTCGCTTGATTATGAATGAAAGATAGATGTTGTTGCGTCTGAGCTTACAAAAAAAATAGTCATAACAACTCATGTTTAACTGCACTTTTACACTTAAGTGATCGACGATGACATTACTCTATAGTAAAATCTTTGTCACATATTTGTCAATAGGTTTCAATTCAGAAATTTTTCTTAAAAAATATCTAAGTCAATTGTAATTCTAATGCTTCATTTGTATATAGGATATAAAAAAATTATAATATTGAACTTCTACAATTATTTTGATTTAACTACGGTACCCCGAGATAAGTTTTTTGAGTCTGTCGTTGCCTTTGAAATCATGGGTTGCACACTTGCACTAGATCAAAGACAATCTACACCGAAATGCACTAGATATGCACCTTCACATGTTCACGTCTCATATAGAAAAACACTCCCCCTTTTTGGCAATGTACCTCTCTTGTTTTTCAAAGTAATATTTGGTAAATATTTCTCAACATTTATCTCATCAGTTACGCACTTTATGCATCTTTACACTATAGGGCGGATCAAGTATAAACAGTGCTTATTGTGCAAATATTTGTACGATGCATCTTTACGATATTTGTATTGCATATTAACGTTCAAAGTGATGCATCTGAATATAGTTTGGTTTTATTACCAAAACATCACCATACATCTATAGTCTTTAGATCAATTCCTCTAATGGTCAAGATGGGTTTGTTATTTGTAAATTAGGAAGTGTTTGTATATGATCTTTTTATAAAATTAATAGCTAAAAAGAATAAAAAATTATAACTTACCATATAAGTAAAGTGTAAAAAAGAAAAAGTAATATTTGCATTTCACACATCAAACAATTTTTATATATAAGGAAATTCTACCCACACAATAAATGAGTGCTGCTTGTACACATTTTTTGTACACATTTGTTGTAAACACTGTGTAGGAGCTTCTGAACAAGCTGCCTGTGTACACAGGTAGCTAGGGGGTGTACAAATTATGTGTACAAATGACTTTTCCTGTTTTTATATCATAGAATTTAAACTACTCCACGTGTTAATTGTTTGATGAGAAAAATAATTACTACCTCCGCCCCGTTGGAAGGTTCCCATAGCAAAACGGCACGGTTATTTAGGCAATAATTAAATAAAGTACTTCGAGTATATTTTGAGAAATAATTTTAATAGGTATATATTATAATGTAGTTAGTATTGATAATTGTGATGTTATAAATGTATTATTTTTAATATTTAATGATGAATTTGTCACTTAAAATTGTTAATTGTTTCCTAAAATGGAAATGAGAACCTTCTAACGGGACTTCCAAAAAAGAAAAGTGAGAACCTTCTAATGGGACGGAGGGAGTATTTAGAAACTGATAAGAGCTAGAATCGAATCATTTTGTCCTGGTTTAGTTCCAAATCCGTTCTTGATTTTTATAAGGACCAAACATAATATTAGTTAAACATTTTTATAACGATTCCATTACCTTTGAATGAGAAGTAAACCAGTTTATGGATCAACGCTCCCACACCAATCCAGAATTGGGTCTGATATTCGGGATCGAACCGGGCAGTTCTGGTCCTTGACGAACCATTTTTTTAGCTTGAAACTGGAATAGAAGGTCGAGCCCAGGCCTCGTCAAATTGTATCAAAGACTGGGCAGCCTCAGCCCGGAACCAAGATCAGACCGACCCGTGTCCGGTACAATGCAGGACCGGACCGAGTTCATAAAACTAGGGATGGACTCGAGCTGGGTAAACCGACCCGTAACCGGCCTGGCCTGGTACCCGGGTCATAATCCGGCTCGGGCCACCCGGCCCAGTACTATTAAGGGGCGGTTCCCAGGCCTCCCAAACCATTAACCGGCACGGCCGGTTCGAGCCATTTTTTTTTTGTTTTTCAAAATTTGAAAAATGTAAATGGGTTGGGTTGGGTGTTTTGGACGGGTTTGGGGTGTGGGGGGGAGGGGGTGGGAGGGGTAGGAAGTAATAAGAAAAAAAATAGGTACATGGCCCGAGGCCCGACACGGCCCGAACCGGAACCGGTAGCTACCCGGGCCGGTTCCGGGCCTCAAGGTTCCAAAAAAAAGCCAAGTCAGACCCGGCTCGAGGCCCGGCCCACACCGAGTCCATGCCTACGTAAAACTGATCTCGATGCAGGACCGGGCATCCAACCGGGTACAAGGCGGTCCCGGTCCTCGGTTTCAATATTTGAGACCGAACCGGGCGATTCTGATCCCGATCCTGGGTTCCAATATTTGGGACAGAACCGGGCAATTCTGGTCCCAAATCGGCCAACTTTTTTAGATTGAAACCGGGTGAAAAACTATAACGGATCCAGGACTGGGACAGAACCACTCGAGTATCCAAACTCAGCCTAAAACCAGATTAATACGGGTTGGGCCTGGGCCTTGAAAAATATGGAGTAGGCAAATCATACTCATCATACTCAAATAGTGGGATTTTAGAGGAATGATTTTTCTTACTTTCGTTTTTATATTAATCCCTACGTCCCTTAAAACTTTGTGAATTTTGAGTGGCACGAGAATTAATAAAATAAAAACTGTGTGGTTGAAGTTTGTGCAAATGAGAGAGAATTATCTGGAACCACAAATTCTTTACTAAAAAAGGAAAGAACTATCTTACTTTATCAAGACCATCCATTTTTTTCTTATAGTTGGTCCATTTATAATTCATAAGGATAGCAAGGACCATCTTACTTTTAATTAGGAGACCACTCATACTAAATACGTAGTATACTAAGATGGGAATCTATTACTCAAATTTAGTAAGGGTAATATTACTATAATAATCAGATCTGCAACAGCCTTTCCATCGGATTCGTTTTATTACAACAACCTGTGTTACAAACTCTTATCGAAATCGTTGCATAATACATACTTACAGTGTATTATGATAAGAACCAGCAGCAGATATGCAAAGCCTGGTGACTGGCGAGAGCTGCATCTATGCTAAGCAAGATCAGCCTCTACTGTTTAAAAGTTCGCTGACAATTTTATCTCCCATGCCATCAACATATGGGAACATATGACCAGAACCGGGAAGTTCATGATAATGGATCCACGGTAGCTTTTGGGCAATATATCGTTGTAATGTAACAGGTACAAGCCCATCCTCATCCCCTTGCCACAAGTGAACCGATCCTTCATTCTTAGGGAACGGGTTTTCCAATTCCATTGGATCAAACTCCCATTTTCCGAACCCAACTATCAAGTCCCGGTGGAGAGACTCGAATTCTCCTTGCTGTCTCACTTGTTCCTGAACTTGCACATGAATAAAGTTCATTATTCAATCTTAGTGCAAAGATTCTCACCTATTTATTGAGAAAGACAAAACTTACAAAACTCTTACCACATACTTCTCTCTAGAGGGGTCGTACTTGGTCATCACCACTTCTGTGTCTTCTTGGTTGAGAATACTAGGCTCGTTAGCTGCAACGCTTGAACTAGGAAAAAGTGTCTGCGTGTTCCACCAGTAGGTGAGCCATGGAATATAATGAGAAATACGGAGAGTCCACTGATCCCGTGGAAGTTGCTTGTAGTATGCTTCTGTAGACACGTTTCTTGGAAATCCCCTCCACCAGTAATTCACAACTGGTGTTAAAAGCACTGCCCCTGCCAACCTTTAGTTCAAACAAAAACCCATGTAGACTGGTCAAGATATAAGGAAAGGAAGAGATTAAATAAATGTTGAAGGGATAAATTCCCTGTCCATGAATAAACATGAATTGTTAGGTCATACCACTGTCTTCAAGTATAAAGATACAAATTCAAATACAAAGTTGAACGGACTACTGCTCTTAATATAATATCAAAATCTTAGTATGATGTTAGAACCTATTAAGCTAAAACGAGCAATGGATCGAACTAAGACACAAAAAAGAACACATGAATTTCAATATTGCTGAATGTTATGATCATGGAGGTTAGATTATAAATGGAACCCCAAGTCTTAATATACAAAAATCATCATATAAAATTTGGCTACTCATGTCCATAAGATGAGGTTAATACCGATGAGGGATGTACTTCAGACACGCCCAGATTACTTGTCCGCCCATAGAAAACCCAACAACGTAGAATTTTGAACCTAGTTGAAGCTGATCAGCAAGTTCTTGGATGTCAAAAGGTATGCTTTTTTCTGTCCGTTTTGGATTCGGGTCGCTTTCTCCATAGCCTGGTCTATCAAATGACACGATATAGATTCCTAGACTTTCAATAACATCCTGAAGAAGGCAATTGCACCAAATATGTAAATCAAACACAACTACATTTAAATCAAACAAACATATTTGTCAAAACTAAATAATAATAATAAAGGAGCATAACATTACAGGAGAGAGTGTGGCGGCGACAGCAGCATCATGCCTGCAACAATCAAATCCATGAACGAACACCATTTTGTAGCTTGCTCTTTCCCTGGGGACACCGTGCTCTTTGTAAGCCAAGTGTCTTCCATCACTGAGTTTAATTCTATTTGCTGTGATTGGAAGCCCATTTGGGGAGCCACATTTCTTGGGTGGAGGAGGTGTTATTTCATGATAAGCCCATGCAATGAAGCCCACAAAACATATAGCTAATACTTTTCCTAACAATCCTGGAACAGTCTCATTGTAACACAACCATAGAACTAACATATAAGAATCAATATTTAGTTTGGACAGAACACATTTTAGAATTTCAAATTGTAGTGCCTTCAAACGATTGACGAGAAGCCCAACTTTGAAAATAAAATAAACAGAACTTTGGTAATATAAACCATTACAAAACAATACATTGGAATACCTTAAAATCAACCAAATAAACTATTTCAACTACTTCCCAGATCAAAATGAAGCAATAAATTAGCACCGTGAATATAGTTATGGTTTGTGTGTGTTTGTGGGTGTATCATATGAAGCTATATATTAGAGCAAGCAAAATTGGCCAAACAGCCTGTTGTGGAGAACTCAAAAAACCCTCAGATGCAAGCCTAAATGTAATTTAAAATAACCATTTCCAACCCAAGAAGACTATTATATTCTTCTTTTTGCATTTGTAGAGAGAGAACAAAAAAGAGCCATGATTATGGCTTCATTCAAGTAGAAGGGAAGAAAATTTAGTGAAAGAGAACCGTCTTTTCTGCAGAAAACAAACTGATCATCTAGGAATCATCACCTCTTCTAGTCGTACATCTAGTAAATTTCTCTAATAGTAAACATTTTCCATTAAGATTGGACTGATTGGTTAATACTGATCATCTAGGTCCTTAATTTATACGGAGTACAACATATCTTCTAGGTCCTGAATAGATAGTAAACATAATATTTGGGTATTTCATATATAAAATTCTAATAACTTTCTATCTGTGGCTGAAAAGCATTATTAGTTTAAATTGAACACAACATTAATTTGTGCAAGGATTCACTGATCTTATAATCCTGGAAAGATTTTAGACTGACATAGCATAGCATGTTTCTAACAAAATTTAGCCTTGGACTGCAGAGAGAGCCATTGCCCACTCCAATTCAGTATTATAGTGCATCCTTCAAATAATCGATAAGAATCCCAAACTGAAATTAAAGTAAACTGATCACTTGAATTGCAATACAATTGAAAGAGAGAAAAGGATGGAACAATTCATAGTAGATATCTTAAAGTCAATCCAAAACTCAGTTCCATCAGTTTTCACATCAAAATCAAAGGATGAAGCAAAAACTAGAAATCTCGGTATCGGTATATGACATGAGCCCATTTGCTAACACTGCAATCAGCTAAATCTACTTAAAGAAATTCTGGCTAAAACGGTTGAATTGGCTAAATCGTGAAAAAATTATATTTTGTTAATAAATAAAGAAAAATATGAAAAAAAACTAAAATGGTCCTTTCCATCAATTTCATTCGGACATGTAACTTCAATATTACTTCTAGTGATTATTACACAATTCAGCGTGCAAAATCAAGTCACATACTCCCTCCGTCCCGCTAACAATGGGACAAGAGAGAGCAGCACGCAAATCAATAAAAAGTGTTTTATGTGGTTGATATTGAATTGATAAAGTAAGAATAAAGTAAGAATGATTTAGAGCCACACAACTTTGCTAAATTTGTTATGAGAAAATCTTAGTGGACAAACCGAGTAAAACGGGACAATCATAGCGAGACAGATGTAGTATATATTTGGTAAAAACCTGACAAGGCTGAAAAGAAGAAAATAGGGGTTATCAAGGAGGCTCATAGTTTTGAAAGACTGCCCCCGCCCCACAAAAAAGTTACAAACAAGTCAAGTACAACAAGTTTACTTAAAGCAAAAAGTAACTTTTACAAACACAAGTAAAAAGTTAAAGGGTCCGTAAATTTTACGTAGTACTTCGTATTAGTAGTAGCTTGTCAAATTACCAGTCTTACCAAGAAGCAATATGTTCATTATCACAGTTAAAGTATTAGGATTTACTGCAATTCATTTCCAAATAAACAAAACTTTTGAAGTGAGTTTATAAAATTAAAGAAGCACCTAAATTGTTAACAAATTCCATGACCCCATTTCATCATACTTGGGAGTTTCATGTGAGATTTTCACCTTCATCCTCCATCTATCAAGAATCCGAAACACAATATCAAATTCAACCAAACAAGTGAGCATACCGTCCGTTGCACTACATCTTGTAGCGGGAAAGCTATAACCTTTACTCAGCCCTTACGAAATTTGGTAAATATTTCAGAAAACTAGATGATATACGTAAAAAAGCACCCAATTAAATGATCATATTACTAAGAACTGAGCTTAATCACCATGCGTTTTCCAAAAATACAAGTAATGATTCAAGGTCAGATTGGTGTCTGAAAAGCGGGATAAAAAGAAAGACCCACCGGAATAAAAGAACATAGAACTATTCGCGTTAGGCCTTCTGGTGTGCGATCTTGCTGAAGCTGCAGAAATTTTCTTTGTTGCCGCTGCAGCTGCCATTGATTGGTCTTCGCCGGTAACCCAGTAAATTTGCCAGATGGCAGCGGGATAATCGAATGAACGGCGGCTAAAATTAAAGACCAGTCAAGCAAGGTTTTGTCTATCTAGGAAGACAGTACCCGACTGCAGAGAGATGATCATATTACTAAGTGATTTAGTCAAGTTGGTGGTACAGAGTAGACGCCTAGGTGATGGATGGATACATTTTCCTAGGTAGGCCGGTGTACAGACCAAGGAAAATTCCTTCCTAGGCCAGTTTTTACAGGCCGGATTACACTTGTCAAATTGGCTATACGGACAATTTAATCGACGTTTTATAAAGAAAAATAATTTTTATACAAATAAAAATAAAAAATTATCAGTATCACAGACAGTTTAAAATTTTCGATTAAAATTCTCGTTTAAAATTCTATTATATCTTAATTCTATTAGTAAAAAAATATTAAAAATCAGATTTTGAATATTTGTAATGAGATGAATTGAACAATATTTTTTTTAAAAAATAATTTTCATAAAATAATAGCGTAAAATGTAGTCAAAGTAGAGCATGTGAATAGTGTAAAATTCAACATGTTGCGATTAAAACGGAACGGAGGATAATTTTACTATCTATGTGCCCCTATTATTGAGAGCGAACAAGTTGAATTAAGTAAGAATGAATTAGACTCATACATATATTACTACGTACAAAATATAGTATGAGACAAATTTAGTGGGATGAAAATAAAAAAAGAAATGGAACAATATTGGAGAGAGTAGAATTATGATTGGTATATACACTGGTGAACACACTATGTGTATATTGTATAAATAGTAACAAAACTAACCTAACTCCTCTCGACCATGATATGTGAAAAGATATGTGGGGAGGAGTGAGATATGAGAAGAGACGTGAGAAGGAGCTTAAAAAAATAAAAGTTTGACCCTGATATAGGGTGTAGATTAACGTGTAACTCAACGTGTACAAATTGTAAAATTCTTTTTGGAATGGACTTTCAACTAAAAAAGCATGGTCAGCTGATTTAGATGATCAAATTAAAAAAATCATGATAATAATGTATAATCATTTTTCACAAATATCGACGCTTTTAAACTACTTCATGAACTGTCGTTTGCGTCAGACACATGAACCGAATGATTCAAATCCGAACTAAATTTTGAATCTAACAATCTCTATTTATGTATTAAATTCCTATATAAATATGAACCGAATTCAAGTTTAAGTTTTTTATTTGAGCCAGTCAAGCTGAATATAGAAGGAGGGTGCTTCATTCACCATCAACATTATTCACTCTTTTTTTATGTAACATTATTTAATCCAACAGTGCCCCGAAAAATTGCGCCTTTCAAGATCAGAAATATGGAGAAATTAAATTTTATTTGAAAAAGGTAGTGGGTGGATAATTAATGGTTACCAGTTAAATGCAAGTAAAATGTAGGTAGATAGCAAAGGGCAATTAGAACAATTCAATGTGACAACAAATAGATAGAGTTAGCAACAAAGAAACTTAAAAATTTAAATGGTATGTGACATATAAAGGAAAGTGTAAATTTAAATAGAACAAGTGGACTATATCTTTATAATACTCATTTCTCTCATTAAACTTTGTCAAACTTTACTTATTTAGTTCCTTTCAAAAAAAAATCTAATAAATTTGTAATTCTATGTTATTTATTTATCGTCTTCATAAATTTTAATCACACAATTTTTACATTCTAATGACACATACTCAAAAAAGTACTTCGTGTCTTTTTATTCATATCATATTTTGGAGACTAGCAAACCTCCTTTTCTCTCTCTAGGGCTCCTTGCCGCTAGGGTTTCGTAACCTCCGCTATCGGTTCTCCGAGGAGCGGCCGCCGGTTTCAGTGGATTTTTTATAGTTAGGGGAGCAAGGTTGGCTGAGGTGAGGGTCGCGGCAGTCTTCTTCGGTTGCTGGAGTTTCGATTCTGAGGTGCAGGGCGAAACTTGATATTTCCACAGGCGGAAGTGAAGGTGTGGGGTTCTGGGAAGTAGCGGAGGAGTTTTACTTCGATGGAGGATATAGTCAACAAATACAATCAGATGGCTATTGGCGAGGATAACGAAGAGTTGTTTTTGACGATGATGAAGACGAAAAGCAGACGGCGAACGAAGGGAAGGTGGCCTTCCCGGTGGTTGGTATGGTTCTTACGGATCGGAAGATCAAATTTCAGATTTTCAAGGAGCTGATAGCATCTTTGTGGAGACCGGTCAAAGGTGTGTCCATTAAGGAAATCGGTGAAAAGATGTATATTTTTACTTTTTATCATAATTTGGATATGAGACGTGTTCTAGATGAAGGTCTGTTGTTGTTCGAAAGGAACTTGTTGCTTCTAAAAGAAATCAAGGCGGAGGATATTCCTCTACAGATCAGTCTTCATGAGGCCGAATTTTGGGTTCAGGTTCATAATTTGGCATATGGTTTATGAATTTAGGACCTGCTAGGAGAATTGGTAACTATATTTGAAATTTCATTAGCTTTGATGAAAGTCAGTTTGATGAAAAATGGGAGGCCTATATGCGAATTAGGCTTCGTATGTATATTAGGAGACCCCTGAAAAAAGCAACTACGTTGAAAAGGGAGGGTATTAGCCAATAGGTAGATTTCAAGTATAAAAATTCCCTAATTTTTGTTTTATTTGCGAAATTATTGGGCATTCTGATCAATTTTGTCCAGTAGTGTATGAGGGGGATAACATCACTTTTGATAAAACTTATGGAGTTAATCCTAGAGCTGGTGGTGGGGTGAAGACTAGTCCTACAGGAGGAAACAAGTGGTTGGTTGAAGGGTCTTCTAGTACTGGGATGGGTGTGCCTCAGAGGAGTGACAGTCAAGACACAGGAGGGCAGGGACTGAAGGAGGCTACGACGGGAACTGGGACTAGCTCTATCAACGAAGGAAATTCGGTGAGCCCGGAAGAAATGCTAGGAGAGCAGAAGCGCAGAAGAATCTCGGAGAAACAGGAGGGTCTAGCAGGAGAGGAGATGGCACTTAACAAGCACAAAAACGTGGAGGAGGCAGGTCTAGACTAGTAGATCCGCCGGATTGCTTGAAGGTGTTGGATGGATCTTTTGGTGGGTTTGTGGCGGTGCACTTAAGTTTGAGAAGAATTTCTATTTTTCTGCTTTTCTTGTTGTTTTTTATTTAATCAGACCGTTTACTGTTTTGTTGCTTTAATTTTTTTATTATAAGAGTTTTGCATTAAGATTGGGTGGTGGTAGGTTTGCTTCAATCGTATGTGGCTCAGATAGTCAGGTTTGCCCATTAATGGATGAGCGAGTTATATTGCTTGTTTGAAGGTGATTAATTCTAAATCTGGTTCGAGAGCAGACGATTGTCTGTGGTTCCTATATCGTTTTAAACCCTTTCAATGGTGTGATATCAATGTAACCCCCATCTTCCAAAAAAACATTCTAATGACACATTCTAGTCAACTCTTCATAAAACTCAATCACACATTTTTACATTCTAGTTCCATTGTTCCACATATTACTCAACTTTGATCAAATTACAAAGGATTGACCAAGTATTATTTATAGTAGTAAATGACTGAAGGCCACTCTGGTAAGAAAAAATTGACTAAAGACCACTCTTCACCCCAATTAAAAGACTCTTCACAATTTTATCAGCTATTCCATCTGCATAAGGGAACATATGACCAGCACCCTGAAGCTCATGGTAGTGAATCCATGGAAGCTGCTGGGCGATATATCTTTGCAATGCAACGGGTACAAGAAGGTCCTCATCTCCTTGCCACAGGTGAACAGAGATAAGCAATGGGTTCTTCACATCCATTGGATCAAACTCCCAGCTCCCAAATCCAACCATCAAGTCACGGTGGATGGACTCGAACTCTCCTTGTTGTCTCACCTGTGCCTAAGTATTCCCAACAAAAGATATACAAAATAAAACTATGATGATTGGGTTTAAAAAGATGAGACAATTAATTAATGTATGCAATGGTGCAACTGATAATTCAAGAGCAACATTGGAGGCCATATTTCATTGACATAAAAAAATACTATGTATCTTTTTGAGGCCGAAAACCTTAGCTTTAGTAGTGGCTTGCCACTTGCCTTTGATTTGTGGTCATCCATTCACACAATTGCCTTCAAGTGTAAAGATATAAACCCAACATACAAAGTAAAATACTGGGCTACTAGTAGTTTATAATATCCACTCTAAAATCATGGGTTTCAAATCAATAACCGAACCGCATTCGGGATACAATATTAAGACTTTAGTTTGATATTACATATTAATTTTTTATTTAACTAGGAGGATATCAAACTGGTGTGGACAAATAATTCAACAATTAGGTCTGCAGGGAAGCAGGCCCCCTATTGTAATGGCAGTTGTATACCTACAAATATAGCATGTCTCCTCCAGGTACGATACTATTCATTATTCATCATGCAAACTACTGCATAATATTTTAGTAGTTCATGAATCATAATAACACAGCTTGCCTTTAAGTCTTGGCACCCTAGATGGTAGCTAATTATGTCAGGCTACCGTAATTAACAGCCACACATACAGTTAAAGTGTTAAATGTTTTGACTAAAACAATAGTAGGGTCAAGTTGGTACCATGTAGTCCTTTCTTGGGGGATGAATTTTAGGCAGCAACTCTTTATCTTGTGAAGAAAGAACATCCAGGCTGTGAGCGGAAATACTGAAAGCAGGAAAATACTTTTGGCTGTGCCACCAGTAGACAAGCCAAGGAGGAGCATATTGAGCAACTCGGAGAGCCCATTGATCCCAGAAAAGTTGTTCGGAGTAGACCTTCCTTGATAAATTTGCAGGGAGGTTAGGCCACCAGTAGTTTACAGCGGGAGCTATAAGCGCCGCTCCAGCCAATCTGTCAAACATCACAAGTTCACAACCAAAACAAACTAAAGTGGACAAGAGTTATGAAGGTAGAGGATCACATTATTCATTTATTTAGGCTTAACAAGAATTTACTAGATACATGCCCTCAATTTGTATACCTACCAACATTAAATTACTAGTTTGAGATTTGAAGTTCTAAAATGATATTATTGGATAATAAGGTTTTAAACTTCATTTATCTACAGTAAACTTTGATAGTTTGATGATGTTGGGGTGCCACCCAAGTCCCCTAACTTGGAAAAGTAAGGTTAACTCCATGTGTAAGAGACTCTTTAGGAACTGCCAAAACAAAACTGTGCAGGCATGACCTAAAACGGTTAAACGGACAAAGTCATACGAATATAGTAGTATGGAATTCATGTGATGTTTGCGATCTTAATGGAAGTACATACTAATTCACATACCTGTGAGGGATGTACTTAAGACAGGTCCAAACCACCTGCCCGCCCATGGAAAATCCAGCAACATAAAATTTTGAACCAAGTCCCAACTTATCAGCAAGCTCTTCTATATCAAAAGCCAAACTCTTCTCTGTAATCTTTGGGTTAGGGTCACTTTCTCCATAGCCTGGCCTGTCAAAGGAAACGATATACACTTGCAAACTCTCAACAACATCCTGCGGTAAAAAAACACCATTCAGGTTACTATCTATACGAGAGGTGGAAAAATATGAAGATGATATAAATATTAAACCACAAGGAACGTTACAGGAGATAGGTTGGTGGCAATGACGGCATCATGCCTGCAAGAATCAAATCCATGCACATAGACTATCTTATATGCTGCTTGATCTTTAGGTACACCAAATTCCTTGTAAGCCAAGTGTCTTCCATCACTTAATTTAATTCTTGGAGCTGTGATAGGAGGCCCATCTGGAGAACCACAAAGCTTCGATGGAGGAGGCTGGGTTGCTAGATAAGCCCATGCCAAGATACCTGTGAAGGACACCACTACTATTTTCGCCCAAAATCCTGAAATGTTGATTTTCAGGTATGAACTAAACATCAGCATTATACATTATCATCACACACCTTAATGAGATTGAGGGGAATGTTACGAATAATCCACAAATGTCGAAAAAACATACCCGTCCCATTGTACTTTGATAACTTTCATTTTTTTATTTGCCCCGAACACTTTGTCACTTTCCATTTCAAGCAATTAATTTTTGGTTTTGTCTAGTTATCTCTCATCTACCCAAATTCAATCATACAATTTTTTACTTTTCTTATTTGACACCTAATTTAAACTTTACAAAGTCTGATGGAAGGAGGTGGCATGAGTTACAAAATGGTTAGACTCTGTGTGGGTTTTTTAACCCAATTTTCGGGTTTAGCAGCCAATTTTTTACCAAACACTAAAGTTTCTATTTCAATTCTTGAATTATATAGTAATAAAAATAAGTAAAATCAGAGTTACACATTGAGAAAGAGAAACCAATTTTAGCTATTTCTTGTTAAGAAATAGGCTTTTTAAGAAATAGGCTTTTTAAACTGAAAAAGAGCACACAATATGAGAGTTGATGTATTAAAATTTTGAAAACCGTGTGCCCCTTTTCAGTGAGATCGATTGTTTATCTGAGCTTAATTTGTATAAATTTTAAATATTATCTTTTTACATGACTGAGATAGTTTGGCATCAATTTCAACTTAACCGGTTTAACTTAGCTCCTCTCAAGTGTGAAGACTCTGTTCTATACATTTAAAATGGCAAAGAAAACTCTTTTTAGACATCTGATCAAACATAAGTAAATGTTAACATACTTAACATTTTAAAAATTGGAACCTGAAGGGATTGGAAGAGAAGTTTTCTGCTTGGACTTTCGAGTATGGCCCCTGGCTGAGGCTGCTGAAATCTTCCTGGACGTTGCTGTTGCCATTTGTTTGTTCTCAAGAGGACCAAACAAGATAGAGGGACATGTGGGTGTCTGAAAATCAGCTGATGTGATATTTCATTATTTTGAACTGGCAATATACCGTACTCGTCCACCAATTTGCTTCATTCAATTTTTTTTTATAATCCAGGTGTCCAGGCATACGCTCCCATAATCCTGGAGTTGACTACACTCCAAAGCCCCTAAACAGTTAAATCCGGATCTGATCTCAGTCAGCTTCGTCAGTACTGGCTCCAAAGGACGAATCCAGCAGGACTTACATCACCTGCTACTCCTCCCACCACATGAACCCGTTACCTTCATTGCCATTCTCTCCCTTCTTAGCCGCTGAGCAACGCCGTGAAGGTAGGAAGAATCATTGGGAGCAAGACCTCCCTCATCTCCTCTTACTTGGAATTGAACCCAAGACCTCCCACAAAGGAGAGACTTGAGGTGGATGATCATCCATTGGATTACACACACCTTCTCAATTTGCTTCATTCCATTATTGTAGTTTGGCCACCAATTGGGTTGGGCAACCAATTATTCAGTTTATGTAGACAACTTCATAATGTTCATTGCCATCTTATTTTGTTGATTTTAATGTATGCTAGAGTGGTGTTAGGTGAGTTTACCTATTATATAAACATATGCTCGTGTCATGTCGACTTAGAGCCTGTTTGACTTAGAGTCTGTTGACACTGTATTTCGGTTTATCGGAATATCATCCTAAATTTTTATTTTATGCGATGAATTCCGTAATAATTAGAAACCATAAGGATATAGTTACTTTTCTGGCTGCATTGACTGAAATTACTGTAGATGGCCATTTTAGCTATTTTTCATGTAATTTTTTCGTTACTTAATTAATAAAATATATTTTAAATATGTTTTTTCATAAATCAGCAGAATCAGCCAATAAAACTACTTCAGCCAGAATTTCACGAATTTCAGCAGAATCAGCAAATTTAGTCAATTTCATTGTTACCAAACGGGCTCTTACTCTTTCCGTCCAGCTAAAATTGTCATCTTTTCTTTTTTGGTTCATCCAACTAAGATTGTTCCATATCAAATTTAGTAAAGTTTGTATGATGTTAAATAATTCTTACTTTATTCTCACTTTATCAATTCAATGTCAACCACTTAAATTCACTTTCTTTAGTAACTGCATTACATCATCATGTCTCAATAGCACCTAATCACCTCAAAAAACAATTTAAACTCCAAAAACAATTATTCACAAAAGATCTTGAAATGGAATTACAATGATTTACTAATAATGTGTTCTAGCGGAAGCTCTCTCGAAATAAACTTTGTCATCGAATCAAACTCTTAGGCCTTATCTCCTGCACGAATAAAGTATAGAAAGGAAATAAAAAAGGAACAAAAATTAGTCGGAAATGCTAAGTAAGTCTCACCCAATCCCGTAAAATAATATAATTTGGTACATATATACTCCCTCCGTCCCGTTAGAATGTTCCCGCTTTCTTTTTTGGATGTCCCGTTGGAAAGTTCTCATTTTCCTAAATGGAAAGTTATCCTACATTAAAGCAGGGTCAAACGGTGCAAAACAGTGTCAAACAGTGTCGAAACAGTGCCAAACAGTGTCGAAACAGTGGCAAAACAGTAAAATTTACCCCCTGGTAAGTTTATTTCCTTAATATGTGTGTAGGTCAAACCGGGAACATTCCAACGGGACGGAGGGAGTATAATTTTGCAAGACGTTTTGGACAAAAACCTTTCAAAACATTTTATATCATTCATACTTAAAATAGTTTATAAAACTTTTAATCTCACAATTCACAAGTAAGATAATAATATTTCAAATATAGACACATTTTTTTAAAATCACAATAATTCCCAAAATACCAATATACATTAAAAGGTGTTATTCTCATTTACAGTGTTTCCAAAGAAAAATTTTCCAATCCAGTACACCAAAATTCTCTTCTTTTAAAGTTTCTCAAAAATTCTTTTCACTAAACCTCCTAGTAATTCAGAAGAGCGGCGCTCAAGTTCTTATTGAGCCCGGTGATCTGTTGTTATGTACGGCCACCCTGGACTTTTTACCCCGGTACCACATCTTCCCAATATAGAATCTGAACTTCTATCTTAAGTGTGCACACCCCTGAAAGGGGTTCCAAGCCTTCTGGGTAGTAAGAAGGTCAAAGTAGTTGGAATGTTTTCTACCGACTACTCCACCAAAAGTTTAAACTAAGTGACTAGGTTACCGCTACTACTACCAAATTGTTCGGGATGTTTTCTACCTAACACACAGAAACCATTAATTCATTTGTTTTTGATTGGTTACTGAACCCACCTTAAAACCTTATCGTAGTTGCGGCCCTAACCACTCCTTCACAATTAACAGTTGTGAAGGGGACCGACACCACAGATTTCTCCCGCGGTGCCCCACCATTGAAAGTATTAAGTTTTCTTTGTTTTCTCAAAAACGAATCAAAAGTTTGTATCTTTCAAAAATACGCTAAAATTCTCATATATATTTTCTCAAAATCCAATTTCATCACAACAACATCAAAATATTCACCAGTAGAAAATCTCCCAAAAATCATGTACAATAACTCATATCACAATCCAATAATAACGAACCAATATCTTAAGTACAAATAAGTTGATAGAATAATAGTTACTCAAATTCAATACACATTAATACAAATCCTCAAATATGCACATAAAAAAATTTAATATAATTACCAGGTAAAAAGTATAATTTCGGTTGCATATCAAATTTAGTAAAGTTTGTATGATGTTAAATAATTATTACTTTATTCTTACTTTATCAATTCAATGTCAACCACTTAAACTCACTTTTAACTGCATTACATCATGATGTCTCAATGTCAAGGCAAGAGAAGTAGTGTTTTTTGTACTCACTTTATTCATTTTTTGTACTTCTCATATCAATGTGTTTATTCAATTTTAAGAAAAAATTAACTCTGACAACTTTCATATCACATGTAAAGAGTTAATACACTCATACATACCACGTTATATTATACACCTCAAATTACTTCTCAAACTATACTTAAATTATTTTTTCTGACTATTGCCTAAAAATGTAACATTTTTATTGAAAATATTGAAATATGACGAGGTTACTGCTAATTAATCATTCTCCCGAATTGAGAGTGCAATTACATAATTATATTTGAGGTTATGTTGATGAAAGTATGAAATTTTTCTTGAAAAAATTATATTAAAGATAAAATTATATATTCAAAAAAATTACGGAGTACAATAAAAGTTATATTGAATTTCAAAAAATGAACTTGAATATGATCAAATTTTGAAACATAAAACTAGAGACCGGGAGTTAATTGTGTTGATCAATGTATGGTAAATTGGTGGTCTCATTTTGAGATGAAATGTAGTAATAACTGTGGTATGTCCTACGTTTTGTTTTATGAAGCTAAATTACTTTCTATTTTATATTATCCCAAAATAAATACTTCCTTTCCTTTTCTACTTTTTAGATTATCCCAAATTGAATTTGGATCCTCTCCGGTGACCGGAGATTTCCAGTGGGAGAGAGATAGAGAGGAGGGGATTTTAGGTGAGATATGTAGATGAGTAAGATAGAGAAAAAGGTAGAAAAAGATAGGAAGAAAAAAAAATGAATGAGAAATGGAGGAGAAAAAATGGAGAGGAGCTGCACCAATCCCAAATTATAATGTTTACTTTTGAAGTGCTTTATTTGTAATTATGTCAAATCAAAACATACAAAATGGGACGAAAGTAGTGTATTATTCGTATAGCAACATAAGTATAACGCATACATGTTCTTTTCGGTTACAATGAACTTCGATAAGATTGTTATTATAATTTAAATATACTTTTCATTTTTATTATTTTCTATAAAAAACTAACTTAGAAAGAAAAAAACTTATGGATAATATATTATAGAGTTATAGAAAAAATATGTTTATTATCAGAGCAAAGTTCAAATGATACATTGATACTAAACGAAATCTATATGATCATACCAAGTGACCAAATTCAATAGACATTACGAAATGAATCAAATTGAAATTAGATTAAACTACTAATAACTCTTATTCATAACAATTTAACAAGAGATTCTAACACACATCTTCATCAAGATAATTAATTGAGTATGTCAACATCTCCAAGCTGGAGCACGTATGCGTAAAAATGGTCAAATTATCTCATGAAAAGGGTCAAACGTGAGAAAGGAGTGGTAATGGTGCTAATTTGGCACTTTACAGGAAATAAATAGTGCCGTCCAGGTTGGAAACTTTTGCCCGTTCCTTTCACCAACTCTTCATTGACTTTAAAAAAATTTTGAGGCGTTCTTTCATTAAAAAAGTGTTGCCGCCCCATTAAATCAAAATTAATTAAGAACCCTAATACCTAAATCGATTGTATTTTGATTTTGCTTAGAATTATTAAATTCCTAATACCTAAATTGACTGAAATTATTAAATTCTCTAAAAAATATTTAAAATTATTAAATTCCAATTGAAGTAGGTAGAAAAAATTATATAAAAATATTTTAACCAATACCGCCAAAAAGGTAATAATTTTAATCTTACTTTTTTTTATTGTTACATAATTCGGTGCGCAAAATTTAAAGTTACGTATTTAATGAAAAGAATTGACTGATAAATATGATAAGCTCTATAAGACGAAATACAGGGTCACCAAATAAGCTCTAAAACTTTGTTTCCTAACATACTAACTATGTCCGAGCTTAAGCTTTTCATTGAAAAATAACACAATTATTTAAACTATAACTATAACTAAATAAGATAATTCAAATATATTTTGACAAGTATTTTTTATGGATATTTGATGTTAAAAAATATCATTAATGATAATCGTGATGTTACAAGAACTCACAACCTAAAGAGGTTCAAATAGGACCAGATCAGACCAGACCAAATCAAACTTAAACAGACCAGACCAGAATTAAACAAACCAGACTTGATTTACGTAGTTATAAAATACACAGAGATTACACCAAACCAGACCAGACTAAACTTAAACTAAAAACATTACATAGAAATTACAGCAAGTAAAAACATCCTTTAGGTATGTATGAACTTTTCCGGTTTTTGCAATTTCGTTTTGTGCTTTTTTACATACCAGTGGTAAAATCTTACGGAGCAGCATAGAGAAAAATAAAAAATGAAACAAAAATAATCAAATGAAACGAGAGTGGAAATAAATTTAGACCGCCACGCGTCTTGACGTGTCATTACACGACTCTTTTTCTTTCTTCTTCTTTACTTTTTCCATGGCGGTTTCGACTTTTGACCCAGTCATATTCAATCATGGCCGTGCATTTCGAGAAACTGGTAGCCATCAACGGCTGATAGAGCCTGAGATCATATCTTCTCCACCTTCTGCGCTTTGATCAGAGGATTGGCCTTGGCGATGGCTTCTCTTCCGGCAGCCTTGAAATCGAAGGTGCAGCCGTGCATCTCCGGGTACCGGTGGCTCCCACAGAAGGTGACCCCACACCTACACCTAAACCCAGTAAGCCCGACCTTTTTCCGGCACGTCGAACACCTGTTCGCGGGAAGCTGCACCTCCGCCGCCGGCGCCGCTATCTTCCTCGGGGGTCCTGCCGGAGATGAAGAGATGGCTGGTTGAGAAACCTGAGCCGGCAGTATTGAATCGGCCGAATTTGTGGGTTTCGTTTGGTCGTGCTGTTTAAGGAAGATGTCTCGATAACATTTGGGGCAGTAATTCTGGGTGGCGGAGCTACCGGAGAACCCACAATTATTGGCGCATAAACGGTGCCCCTCCGATGCTTGAAATCCGTGCTCTTCCGCCATGGATCTGGAAAAGATCGATTTGCTGGAACAGATTTGTGGAGATTATTATGATTGAATTGAAGGCGAGGAATGGGTTATGTTTAGACGATAAAAAAGCAAGAGAAATGGGTTAGTTTTAAAGGGCGGAGGGTTGAATTGAAATGACAAAAAATTCATAATGAAGGAAGGATTAAGGAAGGAGACAAGAAGGCTTACGGAAATTAATATCAATCATGAAAGCGATTACCAAAATAATTGACTAATAGGTGAAAGGACAGGAAGAAAGATGCTTTATTTTTCTCTTGTTTCACATTTACTCCGTATAAAGGACAAGATATCAAGAGAAGTGATTTTAAAAAATGTACAATTCCTACCTACAGTACTTTATTTATCCTTACTTAAATGTATCTCATCCCAAAATGTACCTCATTTTTACTCCAACCCCTAATTTGTGATCATAAATGAGTCAATTCATTTAAATGGTGCCCCACTTAAATGAATTGCCCAATTTATGGCCACACATTATAGGGTAGGGATAAAAATGAGGTATATTTTGGGGTGCCTTTAGCAATTGCGTAAAAAGAATGGTATAGATATCACTTGCACTCTTAAATGACCAAAATACAAAAATGATTTGTACATATGTACATGATATAAATACCTTATGATTTTTACCATCTCATTTTTGCTTTTTTACCCTCTTTCTCTCTCCCTTCTCTTCTTCTCATATTTCTTCTCTACGCCTCTCCCGTTGTCCCACTTTCTCCTTTCTTTCTTCTTCTTCGTTTTCATTTCAATCCTTCTCCAGATTTACTATGGTTGTTCACGATTGAATAGGGAGCGCCGCAGTCCTAGAAGTCATCGCCGCCTGGAGCTGCCACCGCCCGAATGCTGCCACGGTCTGGAAAATTACAGGGCCGACCACCCGTGAGCGTTTCCGACATGGAGGATCGATTTACAACTTGGTGAATTGTCGCAGACCCACAGCCACCATGGTATTCATTTCCCCCTCATCTTCCTTCAATCCAACGTCCTTAACCCTAACTAATTTGATGCTAATTTCCCCCCTTTTTGTTATTGTGGCTTAGGATTTTAACACTGTTTTTTTTTAATTTTATGTTTTATTGATATTTTAATTTTGTTTGTTTAACACTTTTCTTTCACTATACTAGATTTTCACCCGCGCGATGCGCGGGACATATACTAAATAATAATATTAAGTAATTAATTGTTTCTTATTAGTTGTTAATATAAATAGTTAATGCCTAAATGACATGAAAGAGTATATATGTAATTGGTACGAATAATGTTTCAGGATCGTAAGGAATAATAAAAATTACAATAGGAAATCCGTACTCTACAAATTCCGAAATACTTCTTTGTAAACAACATTGGTAGTATGATCGAGTTGTTCCCCATTTTCACTGCATATGAGTATCTTCAAACCCTTGCGATTTGTGACTCTCGATGCTGCAACATACAGTTGACCATGCGTAAAGACTGGTTTTTTTAATAAAAGGCCAACATGCGACAGTGATTGACCTTGACTTTTATTTATTGTCATCGCATAAGAGGTCATGACGGGAAATTGTCTTCTTTGAAACTTGAAGGGAATTCTTGAATCAGATCTAGTCAAAGTTAACCTTGGAATGACAACTTCAAGTGTAGCATATTTCCCCCCTAAAATTTTTGCTCCGAGGATGTGATTCCCAAGTCGTGTAACAATCAACCTTGTTCCATTGCAAAGCCCCATAGACGGATCAATATTCCTCAGAAGCATTATCGGAGTACCGACTTTAAGGATTAACTCATGGTTCGGAACTCCTGATGCACGGATTTTATTTAGGAATTCAGGAGTGTGCAAATCAGCCAAGAATTCGGAATTTGAGTCTGACTTGCAGATGCTATCAGAACTCAAATATGTCCTAGACTCTTCCTGAACATTGAGAGATGTCATGTATTCGTTAATTTGATCCACAACATCAAGAGTTGGAGCTAGGATTGCACGCTCTTGCAAGTAGGACAGATCATTGGCTATTTTCTCAAAGTCAGGATAGGTGCTTTTTACAATAGTGGCAATCGGATCCTCTCCGCACTCTAAGAGAATGTCGCTTGGAATTTTGACATCAGCAAATCCATCATTGACTTCGCCCGCGGTACCATCTCCTAAAGCAGCAATCCAGTTCGCAAACTCCACCAAATCTTCATATTCACAATCGTCACTAAGTGATTGGAGTCTCATGTTCTCTGTCAAACGCAAGACAATGCATTCGTGCCAAATATATGAAGAATTAATTGTGGCATTCACTATGTCTTGTCTGGTACCCTTTGTAATTACAGGTAAGATTTGTCTAAAATCCCCCCCGAACACCACCGTTTTGCCTCCAAACGGTTTATCACTGGTATATGAATTTGTAAATCTAAGGATGTCTCTCAAACTCCTGTCCAAAGCTTCAAAACAATACGTGTGCATCATTGGTGCCTCATCCCATATAATGAGTTTGCACCGAATTATCAACTGTGCTAGTGGACTCCCTTGATTGATGTTGCAGGTGGAGTTTTCAGTCGGATTGATTGGTATTGCGAAACGTGAATGAGCTGTCCTCCCACCGGGTAATAGTAAAGCCGCAATGCCGCTGGAAGCAACGTTAAGAACAATTTCCCCCTTTGACCTCAAAGCAGCAGACAATGTTTTCCAAACAAACGTTTTTCCTGTACCTCCGTAACCATACACAAAGAAAACCCCGCCTTTGTTTTCTTGAATCGATTCCATAATCGTTGTGTACACGTGACGTTGTTGATCATTCAAACTATCAATGCATTTCTCATGCTCATGACATAATGCAACACGATCATATTGCAATTCGTCGAATATAAGCCTGTTCTGAGTCATGGATGATTGACTTATGTCAGGGAATGGCATTGATGGATAGTTCTTTAAGCTCCTGCCATTCCTCTTCAACATCAGCTCTATTTCTATTAGTGCATAATTTTTAATCTCCGCCTCTGTTAACGTTAAATCTAAAACAAAGGATTGAAAAACAAAATCAACATAAGAAAGATATGTATGTATTATTGAAATTAATTTGAATCCGGAAAAAAGTAGTAGTTTTGTTATGTACCGGGATGGAGTAAAGCTGTTCTCTGCCTGTGTAAAATGTCATCTGACATGAATGTCCAACATTTTTCCCAAACGTACTCTGGTCTACTCATCGTATCCGCTATCAATAATATGACAAAATGCTTTCTGAGCACCCATGCTGAAGCCCAAAAACTCCCCTCAGAAATTCCGTCAACATACTCTTTGTCATCATCTAACAATCCCATTGCGAAACATGCCTCACGATATGTCTCATAACAAATCCCATCCACAGTTCTTAGATCATCAAAACATGTAGGCCCACGCTTCAAATTTAGGAGGCAACGCAAATAATAAGATTCCCCTGAACCTGGAGGGACATAAGTTAGTCGACCTATAGCAAAACCCTTTTTGCGAGGTACGAATTCTCTTGTTGTAGCCTTCCAAACAAACCTTTGAGGAAATTCAGCATAAGTTAAATCTCGTGCCTCATTTGGGTACTGCTCATTCGCCCTCATCCATGCCAAAAACATACTCTCCTTCACAGATTCGCGTAACACGACATCACTTACCGATGCATTATCATCAAAGTAAACATATTGTTCATCCGGAAAGTGAAAGCTCAATCGTTCAACAGATGGATTCTTATACTGAATCTCAAACCCTAGTATTCTCCACATCGCCTCACATGGAGATATATACCTACAATCGTAGTAAAGTTTTATTTCATCCACGGGTTTCTCGCTATCATCTGCATTTGAAGTTTCATAAAATCCGGCTGTCACACGATCATGTCCTTTGTTGACGTATTTGAACAAATATTTGATTGACCTGCCTTGATTACACCACTCCACATTGAGATGAGCACCGTACTTCAAGAGTAAATACCTATTATGGGGAACAACATATCTGTTGTCAAGGCGTGATCCACTTTTCACAACAGTCCTTCCATCATTGCGCCTTCTATACCTAGGATAACCTTCATCGTCCACGGTTGTCTGCTCATTGAAATTCTTGGGGAAGTGCTTTGCACACTTAGATTGTACCATGCATGGAGCATTTTTTGCTTCATTTCCACACGGCCCATGCATCATATGCATACGTACCGCATTGAAATATTCCGGATCATTTGCCTCATCAGGTATTTCTACAGAAATGATGTCATCAATGTCTGTCGAAGTGGGAAATTTGTCTGCACTTGCCATGAATAACAAAATATGAGCGTGGGGAAGGCCACGCTTCTGAAATTCCACTGTGTATATGACTGCACATAGAAGAAATAATGTGCCAATGTAAGTTTGCTATATTTTATATGACATTGTATTAAATAGAATTATAATGTGACTTATGATATACCTGCTCTCACTTCACCAAATGTCTTATTATTACGTAGATCTTTAATCAATCCATCCAACTTCATCTTGAAAACTCTACATATTATATCTGGTCGATCTTCAGGACTCAAGTTTCTTTCTTTAAGAAATCTTACAATTTCTGGCCACTTTGGATTGCATGTGAACGTCAAGAACAAATCCGGATACCCAGCCCACCGACATATAGCCATTGAATCTTGGTAATTTTGCACCATATATCGTGCTCCTCCAACAAATGTAGGTGGTAAAATAACTCTCTTTCCTTGGGTAGAAGCATCTCGCTCGCCACTGAGTAAAGCATCGGTAAGGCCTTTGTACATTTCACACCTTAATTGTTTTTTATGTGTTCTGATGTACATTAGTCTTGAAGACTCAACCATAGTATATCCATCAACGACAAATTGTTGGAACAGCCTTCTACTTTGGAGGATGAAAGTGCATTCGATGCTCCGCTCATGCAATCTATATGCCAAATATTCCCTAATGCTAACACTTCTGCGACCTTTTGTAGAATAAGTATTATCTTCACAAAAATTAATATCCTCCCTATAACCATATTCACCGAAGGGAATCAGAAGTGGGTATTGCAATCCCAAATACGCAGGATTCAATTCATTTATACGCTTCAGAAAACCTCCTTGGGTTTCAACCATTATATCTCTTTGCCCAAGTGATTCATCAAAATCTCCCACAACCAAAGCTGCTACTTCTGAAACTGTAGGTAGATTATAAGTTCTAGCATCTTTATTTCTTCTACCTATTAATTTCAAACTCACTTTTGCCTCGCCACCTTCAGCAATCTTGTCTCGAACCATCCTAAATGACTTCACCAAAACGTTATGTTCATCAAGCATTCCTCTTAAAGAAGACACGATTTCTACATGCAAATTGTTTTTTGTGGTATCGTCTCTCACAGAACTCAAGCGGTTTAGATCTTCGTGGTGTGTGTCATATATATATAGTTGAGCAAATTTCGGGACACTTCCTTCTTGCGGCAATAGAGATCCTATTAGATGATAATTCTGACCACTAAGTTTAAAAATTGGTGGTGACCCACCCCTGTTAACTGCATTATCTATCCTCCCACCCATCGATGTGAACGAAAACATACTATTATATGATCTGATATTATGTTGGAAGTGTTTACTTCTAGGATCTGTCCCGTTAATCAAATCATATAATTGAGGTGGGGGGTCCTTTAGTGTTGGCAATACAATTTTCCCTTGGGTGCAACAGAGAGAGTACTTGGGGTTGGTTTTTGTAGAACTTCGAAGTGTTCTCTCTTCAAACCAGAAGAGTGCTCCACAATGCGGACAGTTATGAGATGGGTCGCCAATGTCACAATATTCAGCACATACTGTGTCTAGAAGAAGTTATTAAGTAACCTTAGTATGGATTAACGTAAAGAAGGTACATTACTTCACACATATTTCGAATAACCATAAGTTATAATGGATGTATTAAATTTGGTAATTTGATAATACATATTAAAAATTTAATTATTTCTACTACAACAAATAATCGACCTAGTACTTTAAAAATATATATTAACGAAGTACATACAAAGTACTTTAATTTGGCTTCAAATTATATACTTAGGTTAACAAAGTACTTTAAAAAAATTAAATGAAGTGGTCAACTACATCACTATAAAAAGAAAAAACTCATCTAAAAAGACAATAGTTATAACACATGTGGATCATTGTTTGATGTCCATAAAGGTAATAATTATTACATAATTTTTGTTAATGAAATTATTAGGATGTATTAAACTTAGTAATTTGATATGACATATTAAAATTTTCTAAATATCCAAACAAATGATGTGTTTTGAGAAAGATTAGGATTAGGATAAAATAGGTAGTATTTTTGTACCGTGGGTTATGTCTAGTAAAAGATCACTTATTTGGATAGTTGATCAGACCATCAAATTATCTCAATAATGTATATATGTATAAATACTATTGCATTAAAAAGTAACTACTAAGTCGCATAGTTTATATGAATTTATAGATTTACTCATAATCGTAATACATAGGGCTTATTATATCCTTCATCTATTATCGATTATAAGTGAACATAAAGAAAATGCATGACTTCACAACCATAAAAAACTTGATTGGCTACCTAATAGTTATAACAATCGCACCTTCAACTTGATGTGATTGTGATGGAAGTTCATCCTCTATATGTGTTGGTACTTCGTCATACATACGCTGGTTATCGGGAAGACACGCATCTAAAGATTGCTCTACGTTATTGACATTAATTGTCCTGTCGGTCCAAGAACGATTAAATGGCAAATGCGAAACTGTAGATGTAAATACAAATAGTTTGAAATCAGCATCGTTTCACTATACATATCATCGTACAATTCATAATTAATATTTTAAAATTATAATGATTAAAGTAAGAAGTACCATTAGTTCTGTCCATGAAAACATCAGATGACATCTTGTGATTAGGCAACAGACGTTTTTGAACATTTTGGCCAACATTTTCTGTTCACAAATGCAATTAAACACTAAGATGTTGTCAATTACATTCTACCAATAAAATAGATTTTTTTATATATAAGACTAAACCAAGGTAGTGATTTTATTGCGTATAAAAAAAAACCAACTCACACGCCATGTACGTACGCAGTCTGACCGGGAACTGGGAGGGTACCGCTTAAAAAGATGATTTGCCTCTTTTTTAATAGTTATAGGGTTTGATTGATCGGATTCATAGTGAGGGGGCCTAATTGATTTTTTTGAATAGTTAAGGTGCTCATTTGATAGTTTTCCCGAAAATCTATTTTTGCTAATGTTGTAAACACAATATTTTCAGTCTCTGCTTTTGAAGAATGTGGTCTTGAATTTATTCATTTGTTTATTATCATTATTTGGCATATAAATTATACGTTATGTAATTTAAAAAAATAATTAACCCAAAAATTTAGCCCCTTCAAATTAGATAAAATTCAGATCAATTTGTTTTTTTCATCTCATTCCAACCAACTACCAATGCATAATAGATTAGATTATTTTTTTAACCTAATCCAACCCATAACCCAGCCCATTTTCGGAAATTAAAAAAGCCCACCCGTCCAACACCCATACCCATCAGACAGCCCAAATTCCACCAGCCCAGCCCCAACCCTTCTTATATAATCCCTCTCCAGCACCCTAACACCCCTTCACTCTTTTAACCATCAGATAAAACCACTCCTCCCTCTACCTCTCTCACCATCTCACCGATGCTAACCATCGGATACACTCCTCCCCCTCTAACCTCTCACCGATGTTAACCATCGTATACACCCCTCCCCCTCTACCTCTCTCACCGATGTTAACCATCAGCTAAACTCCTCTCCCTCCACCTCTCTCACCGATGTTAACCATCAGATTAAACTACTCTCGCCAGTGTTGGGGCTGACTGGTATAGCACAGGGGTGGCTGTGTTGGGGCAAAACCCTCCTACCACCTTCATCTCTGTCGCTGAACTAACCCTCCTCCCATCTTTTATGATTTAGTCTTGTACTGAACTTGAAGTTGTTGTTATTTTTTTTTATGCGGATATTATTGATTTGCGCTGAATTTTAAAAATCATAGATTACATGCTGGAATTTGAATAGATCTTTCTAGATCTTTGATTCTGTGGTTCGGGCATGTGTTATGATTCAACGTTAATTATTTTTCTGCATTTAGATCTACTTAGATCTACAAATTTTCGGTCAGAAAATATATATTTTTTGAGACATGTAGCCTATTTTTGCGTTTAGATCTGTCTAGATCTATGGATCTGTGACGCGTATATGTCTTCATGTATGAATCTTTTCGATCGAACATGTAAAAAATCAGACATGTAGCATCTGTGGCTTTCAGATCTATCTAGATTCATGCCTTTGTGATGCGTACATGTCTCGAAATGTTATTTCAGTCTTTTATTTTCGATTTGTGACGCGTATATGTCTTCATCTATACATTTTTTCGATCAAACATGTAAAAACTCAGACATGTAGCATCTGTGGCTTTCAGATTTATCTAGATCCATGCTTTTGTGATGCGTACAGGTCTCGAAATGTTATTTGAGTCTTTTTTTGTTGAATTATAATCGTATAGATAAAAAATGGTTCGTCCTTGCTATAATATCATATATGTACCATTTGTGGCGTTAAGATCTGTCAAGATCTGTGCATGTGTGATGCGTACATGTAGTGATAACCCTAGATCTGTATACATGCCACAATTTTTTTGTTTAAACATATACAAATATATGACATGCATCAGATTCTGGTTGAGAACTGTCCAGATCAATTCAATTGTGATGCTTACATATTTGAATATATGATTCAGTCCTTTTGACATGTATAAATTGATACCATGGATCATTAGTTTGGATTGGATTTGTTTATGAACATGCATTTTTATGTGTGTTTTAACTCTACTGCACCAGAATTGGACCTTGGGCCTTGCCTATTCAAATTCCCTGCCAGCCAATATAATGGCCTTCGGATCTGCGCGGTTTGACAGGCGGTTTAACGACCCAATGTCCATTTACTGATGTGCCAACCAATGTTTGTACCTAAATTGTTTTATTAATTTAAACTCAAGATATCGTTTTTGTAATACCTTGGTTAGCTAAGTCTTCATTTCCCCTCTTACGGTTGATTATTGTTGATTTAGTCAGCCTCTTCATATCTAAAAGGGACCTTTAAACATTACCTGAATTGATGACATTGATTAATTATTGTTCACATATCAGCTGTTGTTTAAATATCATGCATCATACATACTATGTATTACGGCTTTTGCAAGCAGTCATATCATTAATGATTTATCATTCATTCATAAACCCATACATTCAAACATAACACATCTGCTAGAAAGACATGTTAACACGACAAACGCATTTCTCATGCATGACACACATGATTCGTTACATATTCTTAGTCAAGTATGCATGTAGTCATCCATTTAAAAGAAATGCCTATGATCATATCATCATTAAAGTACTTGCAATTCAACTTCAAAATCCTATCAGACTTTCGTGGTATGATAGGAGATGCATCCACCCATGCTGCACAATCTTTGCATAAGTAGTCAACACTGTTCCTTTTCTTGTTTACTTGCTTCATGCAGAAAAAGTGACTATGATTTGAGTTACACCATGAGCATGCATCCAATAGGATTCCCACACAACGTTTCCCACACGTATAGCATCCCCCAGTTGAACATACATGACATGAACAATCACTCATCTTGAAAGGCTAGAATACGAAGTAGGTTATATAATATTAAATTCACACTCAAAATGCATAACATGTCATTCACGAAATGTGCGTTGTTCATTCAGTCTGCATAATTAAATGTTTTGAAAGCATATGACAAATATGATATCTGACTTACAGTTGATAAGAAATGAATGCGTTGTGTTCCGTATATGAACTTCACACCTTGTGCGGGATGCTCTGCTTCCAAGGTTTGGTATGCCTCATTAATGAATTCTTGAGGTAGTAGCTGAAGCCATAAAGAGTATTTATGTTATCCAGTTGCTTTGATACTCAAATACTTGGTACGTATGTCTACCCCTTCACACTTTTAATATGACTGGTCTGAGATTATAATAAATGCACCTTGGGAACACTCGATTTTCAACCACATTGACAGACTATTAATTGCCACCTCGGGAACAATCTATTTTCAACAACTTCGGCCATATTTAGTATTTAGAACATGTGCTTTCAATGGCGGTTTTCAAAAAGTCTATACTCAGCTCTAGTCTTTTTTAAATTTTCGTATATTCATCAGAACTCCTACATTGAAAATTTCTACTGATATAATTTATTATATTATTATATGCATTATCATTTAAACTTATTTTAATTGATATATATATATATATATATATATATATATATATATATATATATATAAAAAATTCTATATATTTAAAGTTTTTTTCTACGGCCTGCGTGTTATACATATACATATAAATGTATATTCAATATAACACAATAATAGGCCAATATCAAATGTGCTCAAAATATTACGATATTTTATGGTAAAAAACATAAATTCAGGTTCTTTTATACTTTCAATTAATATTGAGTCCAAGTAAAATGACTTCGGTAACTTAGAATGATATAAAGTAAATCGGACATGACTTTATCTCAGATCAGTTTTGATAAATTGAACCAATGTTCCCTCTATGTTTTTCAACTAATCTAGATAGATTCTCTTATACATTCTGGTAAACCATATTCACTCTACTGAATAATAAAGTATGATTTATTTTGAGCACACATTAAGTATTTATTTTAAAGTAAATCAACTACTTAAAGTAAATCATATTTTGAACACATTTGTTTTGGGTTTTATATAATCCCCAGAATATACTCAACTTATTAAAAGTAATAAATCTATTATTTTTAATCAAATCCACTGTTGTTAGCACTTCTGAAGTTTTATATGTGTTAAATAACACTTATGCCTGAAATAATAACTTACTATGTTTTTTTGCTTCTAATGTATGAGGATAATCTATTTTTGCTACACGTTTTTTTGTGAACCAAGAAATGTACTGTGGTTTTTAAAATGATTTTTTTTGTGAACCTACTGTGGTTTTTAAAATCATTTGTCTTTAAAAAAATGTACATATTTCCCTTAATATACGTAGAAGTCCTCTCCTGTTATAACTTCTGAAATTTTTCTAAAATTTTATGTACACAATAATTTTATGTCCCAAACATTCTTTCTTACTCTGTTTTTATTACTGAATGCAGGTGCTTTGAGGATGAATCAATTTGTTTTATAGTATTTGATGAATGTAATTCGTAGAAATTGGGGCCTTAATTTAGGTGCCCTTGTATGTAATAATTATATTAGATTTAGGATTGCAGGTTAACAAATCTTCACCAGGTATGTATCCCTTAACCTCCTCTTTTTGAACTGTTGTACATATTTGCATGATATCAGAAATGACCAAAACATTGAAGTAGCAAATAGTGTTTATATGCCAACCAAATCTGGACTTGATACAAATATTTTTGTTAAATCATTTTATTATTTAAAATTCTATACTGTTTTACATAGCCCCGTTTGTGATCCTATTTTTTTTTATTTAAGACAAATTGTCATCGTATGACTATGATTTCAGTACTGAACTAATTTTCCATGTCCAGAATGTTACACTTTAACATGCCATATATTACAAATGACACTATTTGCTGCTTCATGTAGAGGTTGCACTTTCACATTCTTTCAGTTTTGCTCGTTTGGCTTCTCCTGTGATGTATTGCCCAAATGTAGTTGCGTCTAAGAATTATCCTTTCCTGCACATCATAGTCACGACCAAACAGATACCAAAAACATTTTCAAAATTATAACAAATCATAAGGTTAAGCATTATAGGATTTATAGGTCTCAACACCAAGTTTAGCAAAATTACAGTTGTAGCACGAAGTTTAGCAAAATATAGTTAATATTACAGGCCCAAATAATAAGTTTAGCAAAATAGAGTTTTAGTAGCAGAATGATTTCTGAAAAATAGAGTTCTAGGTAGCCGGTTCCTCTGGTCACATTGTTTAGGCCTTCTCCTGCTTGACTCGGATCCTTCTCTTGTTGGTGTTGATGTTTGCTGAAAACTGATCAAGCAGGTTCCTATTTACTACATCATTCCCTCCTATCACAACTCGTTTCCCTTTTGCTGATCCAGTAGCTTCCTCCACCACTCTATCCTTGTCCTGAAAAATGGGTTGAATTAAGTTAAGCTAGTCGTTTGATTTTTTTATTTAACTGTGACTACACTCTGAAAAATTTTGAGTATCACCTTCTCCAATCCCATCTCGGCTGCTTGAACTTGAATAGGCGTAGAAGCATTCTCATCTTCTGTCATGACTGCCTATAAAAACATAATTCAAGGGTTAGTACAACTTGTCACCATCTACCTTGTTTTTCAATGTAAATGACACCGTTACCTTGTCTATGGAAAGACCTTTTCTTATACCGTTGTCATTTTCTTCCTCCAAGTGATCATTAGCATCAAAACCACTCTGTCATTATTGAATAAAATCAGCAAGGCAGTGCGTCCCAAAATTTAAAAAAAAATCAAAATATTAAAACCTTTTCCTCTTCAGTTAAAATTTCCGGTCCTTTTGCTTGTTCAGATGCGTTAGCATAAAGCGCCAAAATCGTAGGGTCCCTGATCATGGCGACAACCCCATAAGAAAGAGGTCCTTGATAGGATGAACTTTCTGCTCTGGTTTTGACCTGGACTTTGAAGAGTCCCTTCTGGTCTATCAGTGCCTCGATATCCTCTGGAAAATGTTGAGCATCTCCTGTTTTCTGCAACATTTTCAAAAAATCATTTTAAACTTTCTCATGAATATATCTAGTCAACTTGGGAAAACATTATGTGTCGTTGTACCTTTTCAACTTCCTTTCTGATGGCAGCTGCTGTTTTTCCGGTCACTTCAATGCATTCCTTGTCCCATAGGGTAAAGGATGCATGTCCGGAGTCATCCATGATGCAGACGGGAACTTTATACCTTAGGGTTCCTCCTGGAAGAGATATGTTGCAATTGTTGCACCTAAACCTGTCCTCTTCGGGCTGGAGTTTTTTGTTGCACGTAGGGCAGCTTAGATAACACCACTCTCTGTAGTTGTCGATAGAAACAATATCTCCCAAAATCCAATAGGTGCCATCCTGCATTAGGCAAGAGAATGACAAAATATTAGACAACAATAATATATTTGCTGTGCGTTTGGTCTAAGGCAAGATTTAGGTACCTTTGCATCATCCAAGAATTCACTTATCCGTATGATTTTTGCATTTCCTCTCAGTACTTCTTCCATGTCGTGGCCTATGCTATTTCCAGTGAAAGTGGTCACTGTAGCTACCTCCTCATTTTCTGGTCCAAATCTGTCAAGTTAATAAGTAGAATGAGACTGGGCATTCCTAGTGGTTAGTTTATCTAACATGGTGTTCATCTGGTGCGTACTGTGCCTTGAAGTCCTCAAACTCTGTTGACGTTCCATTCATGATCAACTTAGATATGTCGTAGGAAGTAGACACCAACACCGATCCTGAATTGCCATTAAAAAATAAATAAGCATTACATGTTTTTATAGACTTATTAAAATCTGATTATTAAATAGACTACCTTGGTAACGCTTTGGTCTGCACATTTGAAGAATTATGTAAATTGCTTCATTCTTGTGCTCTGCGTAAAAGTCACAGAATTCTTTGCAGTAGTTGTTCCATAGCGTGCCTCGTATACGGTTACCCCTATATAAGACCATTAGGTTAAATCCTTTTGAAAACTAAAGCCATAAGTTAAAATTAATTAGTTAAGCACTTTTACTAACTCGGGATCCTCCAAAGTTAGTTCTATGAGACGCTCTGGCTTGCCATTTATCACATGCGTCTGTGGAGGTGTTTTTCCAACAATCTTTCCAATTACATCTGACATAGGATAACGTTTTGTTATACATTTGTTTATTATACATTTCGTAATATAATCGTACCAACAGCCACTCTAAAAATTTATATTTAAAAAGGTACCTATCAACAGTTTATCGTTCACAACCCTTAGGCTCTGCAGCATGTCGAACTGATGAAAATCATACATGAAATTCGGAAAGTTTTCTGAAGGGTGGTCGAAAACTGCGGTTTTTTTAATAAATTCCAGAATATATGGGTGCGATGTAGTTTTGTACGTATAGTAATTGTCGAGCACCAAAAAGTTTTTTATCCTAAAACATTGGTTTTCCAGCATCCTCGATTTATACAGGTGCATAAGGGGTCTCTTAATCAATGCATGTATCTTTTCACCCTACAATCCTACATTAGTCAAAAAAAAAAGGCTTATGAATATAAAATCTGATGTCAACGAAAATAAATGGAAAAAATGCAAAAGCATAGTTTACCTCCTCGTCATGGAAAACAACCTCCATTCTTGGACCTCCTTTAGTTTGGGCAGACATTTCCACGGCCCTCACAACTCGAACTTTGAGTGCCTATGTTGATCTGGTATGATCAACGTCCCTGATCATTGAGTACAATGTTCTGGGAATTTCGTTAGGGTTTGTTGCCATGTTGAGTGAAGGGAGTGAATGTTGAGTGAAGGGAGTGAATGAAGGGAGTGAAGGGTGTGTTGGTTTGAAAACATCCGTATGTCAGCTTTTATAGGCAAATGATATGTATAAGTTTGAACACCCAACTACCAGATTAATTGCTCAACCCCCAACTACTTCATTAAATGCTCTAAACTGATTCGTTTGACCAATACATCGGACCCAACAAAATCTTAAAAGCAAATGTCGAATCTTTCATTGGTTCCAACAAAATTCAAGCCAACCAAATTTAATAAATGAAGTGGACCCCAGACCTGCGATCCGTTCATTGTATCAATATTAGAGATTCTTTCATTTAAACAAAACTTAAAGCAATACATCGGACCCAACAAAATCAGATACAGCGGCCCCAACAAAATCTTCATTAAATGCTCTAAACTGATTCGTTTGACCAATACATCGGACCCAACAAAATCTTAAAAGCAAATGTCGAATCTTTCATTGGTTCCATCAAAATTCAAGCCAACCAAATTTAATAAATGAAGTGGACCCCAGACCTGCGATCCGTTGCATGTATCAATATTAGAGAATCTTTCATTTAAACAAAACTTAAAGCAATACATCGGATAGAAAGTGGACCCCGTTGAGAGCACATTGTTTGGGCGGGAAAAGTGGCTGGCTTCCCACTTCGTTTTGTATATAGAAAGATTATTTGGGAATATCATTCTTTTGAGCTCTTATTCTTGTTAGTGGTTGTGCTTGGGTTGTTGTATTGGATTACATTGTAAAGTTACTGTTTTTGTGTAACCAAGTAATCGTTTTCATATTCTCCATAAGTCTATTATTGCTGATATCCATGTTAGGGTGATAAAGTATTTTGTTTCTCTTAGTTTAAACATTTTTTTTGGAGAGTTAATTACTATATTCTTCAATTATCAATGTGATATTGTTTTTCTAGTTATGATCAAACATTTGGTTTGACAAAAATCTTTTTTTTATAGATTTAATTGAATGTCCTATTATGTTATTCAAATCCTTGTTCAGTTGAAAACTAAGAATCTGTTACAATCTGTAATGTTGTCTTTTTTATCCCTAGGTAATATGTTTCAGAATTTTGTATTTATAACATGTATTCTATTCAAAATTTCCTTTATAGTCAGCATCCTCTTGATTTGCTTCTTTGTTTTATGGAGTGGCTAAGGGGGGTCCGGTCTACAGGGATAGATTTCAAAGTGTTCCATAAACATGATAAGTATTCGTCATTATCTTCCCTATAATATGTATTCTACTACTCTTCTATTACTTAAGTTTGGTTTGTGGAAGATGAGTGGATACTAGTTTCATCTATAGAAATCTTACACTATATCATTGAACTGCACCAATTTCGAGTAAAAAAATCTCTGTTTTCTTATATGAATAGAGCAAAATCTGCTCAAGTTAAATGCCCGTGTGGTAGTACGCTTTCCTGGATCCTAATAACCATGTAGTTACGCCAACATTAACCGAGGTGCCCTTTTAGGGAAAATAAAAAGACAACAAAATTTAACTATTAATTTAAAACCTCTCAAGTCATTCCATTTTTTTTCCTTGCACTGTGTTTCATGCAATCACTATGCTTTCTGGGAGGTTCTTTTTTTGCTAGGCATATAGCATTCTAGTTTTAATTATTCAATGCTTATCAAACTCTCATACTATAGTTTTAGTTCTTGCTACATGAAAAGAATGAACTACAAGATTACCATTTTCTTAACCTTCGAATGGCAGGTGAGGCTTTGCTCATAATAACCAAGAAAGTCTCTTAATCCCTGAGATTGTGTAAGATTTAGTGTTCCTTTAATTTTGTTCTTTTTTTATTTTAGAATTTATCGGTTAAAAAGATGCCAATGCTTAATGTCAGTTCTGCATTTTGGGATATTGAATGTTATACTCACTTTGCTTGTTATAACTTTATTGTCTTGATGCTTTCACATATTTGATTGTTTTGGTGCTTTGAGTTGATGTTTTGAACTGTTGATGAGTTGTTTTTCTTTTGTTTTATTGTTCAATTGATTTCCTATAGGTTTATAAAAATAAGGAACACTTGAGCTACTTTCTGATGATCGATCAAGTATTCAAGTCCACTACAAATGAGCAGCATTTATTTTAGATAATATTTGTAAAGTAGTAATATGTTTAGATATAGCCACCGAAATAGACTAATGGGCTAATGTACTTAGTAGAATTGTCTGAGAACCAGACATTTCATGTCTGGTTACCGACAATACCACAAACAATAACCAGTGAATGGGCTAATGAGCTCATGTGCTAAGTGGAATTGTCTGTGAACCAGACATGAATGTCTGGCCACAGGCAATAGCCACTGGAGCAGGCAAATGTGCTAATCGCAATTATCTGTGAAAGTGACATGAAGCGTCTGGTTACAAACAAAAGATACATATTTACAAAGTCTTTGATTCTTAAGTGAAAAACAAGCGTATTTACAAATAAAGTGCTCCGTTACCGAGAACAAGCATTATCATTTACAACCCAAATAAGTTGTCAATCCTGATGGCATCAAATTACAAGATGGCTTCAAAATCAAATTTATTATTGACAAGTAAATTCTTTTATTTCTCAACAATGCATAAATAGTCCCAAAGCGTACCTCCTACAGGACCCCAAGCCACTCTAATGGAACAACATCATCTACGAATTATCGCAGTAAATCATTGAATGTGATCATGTTGAAATTCTATTCATCTACGTATTAGCTTTCATCTAACTAATTTTTGGCAGAAAATAGAATATAAAATAACATCAAGATCAGTGAACTAATTTTATTTACTGCAGTCAATAAATAAATAGACAATATAATATGTATACCTTAATTAAAGTCATAGTGAAGAGCATAATTTGAATGTAGATGCAACTAACTAATCTTTGCAAGTATATTTTGGCGTAACTACTAGTTTTCTCGGAACTAAGTGATTGAATCTTGCAAATTTGTTTTCTCTACTTTAAGTTTGACAGAGACCACAGTAGGATGCTACTCATAAGAAATGTGAAACTAGTAAAAAAAGAAAGTAAAACTAGTTAACAAAAAATAGGAGAAAATGTCTTGGATATGAACAAAAATTTCATAGTCATTCCAACAAACATGTTATGGGCATATAGGAAAATAACGTATTAGGATTAAAACTCCAATAGCTAACACCACAATCTTTTACAATAAAACAAAAATGCAATTATTCAATGTTACAACATACATAATAACATACATAAATTCAGGAAATTAAAAAAATAAAAAAGAACCCTAAAATGCATATGAAATAATCGAAACAGATTACCTCAATAATAATGATTTTGGAAAGATTCATCCATCATTAAAAGGTGAAACCTTGAGCTTCCTTTCAGAAATTTGAGCTTTAAAATGAGAGGAATAGAAAGTGATGAGTGGACATGGAGTGTGGGACGAGTATGCTGGAGGCTTCCAGGAGAGGTGTTCAAACAAGCTGGTGAGCTAACCTAAAATGGAAGATGGATGGAGTGAAAATGGTGGAGAAATTAGAGAAAAAGAAGAGAGAGGAAGGAGCGTAGAAGAGATAGGGAAAGAGAGAGTGCCGGATGGGGAGGGTAAAAATAAAGAGAGAGATGAGTTAAACAAATGGGGAGCTTTTTTTTTTGGGCTTTTATAGCTTGTACACTTGTGTACAAGTTATGTAACCCAAGCATTTTTGACGGAAATATGACCCTTATTTGTTTCTTCAAAATGTGATTTACACGGTCCAGTCTCTGGCCCATCTCACTCTCGTAACAGACACTACGAACTCTATGATGGAACGGACACAAGTCACGCAACCAACACCGACTTCTTCTCAACCATTGGACGCATGCCGCCGCCGTCTTCATCTCTCTCAACCTGCCGCCGCCCCCACCGCACTCCAGTCCCCGCCGCCCCCACCGCACTCCAGTCCCCGACGCCCCGACGCCCCACCGTCTTCATGGCTTTCATCTTCTTCTCATTCTTCTTCGCCCCTACTTGTCCTACCCGTCATCACTGGTCGCGCCGCCCTTTCCGTTAGCCGTATAGATCATGGATCTAACTCGCTGTCCAGATTTCTGCTCCGCCTCTCCATATAGGTCGTCCAGATCTATGATTTTAGCGGTCGTTAAAGCTAGGATGAGGGGAGCTGGCGGCTAGGTTTACAGGCGGTGGTGCGGTGGGGGGCTTGGGTCGGAAGCTGAGGTTGAGGTGTGAGGCCAGCTGGGTGGGCTGGCGAGGGCAGATCTAGGCATTTGAATTGGGTGGGCTAGGGTTGGCCTGTGGGACAGGGGTAGGGGCTGGCGAGGCAGAGCTGGGGTGCTAGGATACTGGAGTCTTGTGTGTGTGGATGCCACTTGCAGTGGTATCAATGTGGCTGTGTCACCGGATTAGTGATCGGAGTTGAGTGGAAGTCACGGGCTAGTAACCGGAGTTGGGTGGAGTCACTGTTCAGTGACCAGAAGTCACTAGGATAGTGACTGGCGCAAATATGAACTACTAATCAAATACTTCGTATATAAAAGGAATATTAAAATAATAAATGCATGATTAAATACAAGGAATAAATGACTTTTAGTCACTTTTCGGAAAAAAATTAAAACATGACACATTTTTGTCTTTTTCATTCATTTTAGTAATATTAAAATAAAAAGCTCATGTTTTTATCTAAAAATTATTATTGTTTGAAACTTTGAATAATACCACCATCCAAATTGCTCCCAAATAATTATTTAATTTATTAACTATTACGTACTTAACTATCCAAAATATAATGGATACAGCAAGGATGTTTTTACTTAGACTGAAATTTTCTGGTCTGATCTTGTCTGATCTGGTTTGGTCTGGTCTGATAAATGTCTGGTCTCTGTGTATTTTATAATTATCCAAGTCTGATTTGATCTGGATTGGATGTAATATTATTTATTTTACAGATGAAATTTTGGAATGTTAAATGCATTCTAACAAAGCAAAGTATTTTAAACTATGCAACAATTCTAATACATTTGTGTTTTTTTGAAAAACATGCGATCATGGTGTGAAAATGACTTTTTATATAAAGTTCGGGGTATATATATTACATATGCAAGTTTGGGGTACTTATCTCACACCTTATTAAAGTTTGAGGTATTTAAATAGCTAAAATGATCCTCTAGAATAACTTCAATCAATTTTAGCTAGAAAAGCAACTCAAACCTGGTTTATTTTAATTGTTATTAAACGATTCGCACACGAAAATCAAAAGTTACATCTGTGGTGAAAAAGTTGAATGATAATTCTTGATAAGTTTAAAATACGGGTAACCAAACGGACTCTTAATCTAAATATTAATGAACACAACAAGTGAATTCAACCGTTTACTGTAGAAGATAATAATAGTAAACCCTACTTCTCAAAAGGGATGCCAAAGTCCAAACAGTCTAACAAAGTTGCCTTCTCCGTAAACAACCCTCAACTACATATTAGTATCAACAACTAACTATCAAACTATTTCTAACCCTGGATGGGATGAGGAGGAGTCACCATCTCATTTATTACACTTCGTTAAAAATGAAGTAAATGGATTCGCAACTTATCTAGTTCAACACTAAAGATTTAATGTTGACATTGCCCCTCCCTTACTTTGAAGCTTGTCCCTAACCTTTAATCTTAGAAAATTACTTTATTATTTTGTCAGTCTTCCCATGTAGCTTTATCTGATCGTAAATGCTTTCACCTAATCAATAATTGAACAACAACATCATTGTTCCTTTTAACACTCCTTCTAGCTAAAACTTTAGCAGGAACCAACAAAGTGTCACATTCTTGATTCATGGCAGGAATGTTATTGGTAACTTACCTATTTTTTTAACAAGGATACATGGAAAACTGGATGTATCTTACTCCCTTCAGGTAGATTCAATTTGTAGGCCACAACTCTTATTTTTTTCTATAATGGGAAAAGGTCCACAATACTTACGACTTAGTTTCCATATAGCGGATTTCTCCTGTTCATCTACCTATAAGGTTTGAGTTTCAAATAAACCCAATCCCCTGTTGCATATTATCTTTCGCTGCTACCTCTGTCAACCAATTGTTTCATCCTGTATTTAGATACTTGGAGCTCATGTTCAAGTTTTTAGGAGCGGGTTCATATTCGACTTGCACAATCGAAATCTCTCCATATGATCCTATCTCCATCATGGGTGGTTTATAACAAAAAAGAGCCCCAAAAGGACTCATCCCAATTGTCGTGTGATGACAATTGTTGTACCACCACTGGACCAAGGAAAATCATTTGCTCCGGTCCTTAAGAATCCTTTCGCTCTTATGCATCTAATATAATGGATGACAAGCCGTACTTAAGTCACGTTATAAGGTGTGGACACTAGCTATAAAATTGTTTCTTCAGCTTCACTATCTCCTTGATAGTTCTCCTCTTGCCAAAATGGTTTGATGATTGCTATATTAGCACATATCCAATCCCCATTATATTACTTTCCTGATGATCTCTTCTTGATATAACATCTTCCACTTTATTCTCAAACCCTTTTTATGTTCGATTTTGTAATTATTGCACAATAGCTTGGTGAGATATTTATGCTGAATAGGGGTGGAAACACTATTCAGCTTAATGGAGATTCTAGGTATTTATTAAGATTCAAAAAAATTCTGAATTCTTACCAGGAATGCTCAGGGCAGGCTGTGAACCTTTTGAAAAGTTCCATTCTTTGTGGGAAATCTCCTCCAGCAAGACAATCTAAAATCAAGGACCTCCTGGGTATGAAGCTTTCCAGTTTACCCATGAAATACCTTGGTGTTAACCTGCACAAAGGGATAAACAGGTTTGAATATTGCAGCAATATTATCACACAGTTTGAGAGCAAACTTTCTCCTTGGAAACAAAATAACTTGTCACAAGGGGTAGATTAATTCTTATAAAACATGTGCTTAATTCTATTCTTCTACACATTTTAGCTGTGGATACTTTACCTAAGAAGGTAATTAAGGTGCTTAATAGTAAGATGTCCTCTTTTTTCTGGGGCTCAGCCAATGACATGAAGAAACATCATTGTATTAAATGGAATAAACTATGTTAAAAGGCATTCACACTCAAATTGTGGTGGAAATGGAAAACTGGGGTCTCTCTTTGGAATCAGATTATGAAATCTAGGTATGGAAGAAATGATAATATGATACCTAAGATCACTGATTCTGCTATTTGGAGGCGTATTTGCTCTGCTGATGCTCTTGGGTCAGAATTGTGTACCATGGACCAAACTGGAAAGATATCCTGGAATGAAGAAAATGATGGTCAGTTTTCTATTAAATCTGCTTATGAGGAAGTAAGAGATTTAGATTTCAACTATCCTGTTTATCAACAAATTTGGGAAGCCAAGACTGAAATAAAAATGAAGATTTTACAGTGGAAAATTGTTAAGGGTATTCTGCCCACTGCAGATAACCTTAGCAGATTTCACTTTGTGTTAAATCCATCAATGTGTCCCCTTTGCAGATGTCATAGTGACTCTATGAAACATTTGTTCTATCAATGTCAAGTGGCTAAAGAGGTGTGGAGATATTTTTTCAGTATTTTTGGTATCTATCAACCACCTGGTGTGGATTATAGCCATTTACATTATTGGAAATTGCGAAATGGTCCTATAAGTTTGGTTGATTTTTTTAAACAGAGTTTGCCTGGGATTATCTGTTGGACAATATGGAAGGAGTACACCAATCATATTTGGGGTTCTGGGGGTGGAATATCTAACCCTAATTATATCATCCTCCAAGTTAAGATGTATACCCAGAGTTGGGTTGCTACTTTGCCTACACACAAGATTCGGATTACAGGAGATATTCTTTTTCAGGAGGGCTTGATTCATAAACATTTTTGCTTACAATGTTATAAACCTCAGATTATCAAATGGCAGTTGCCAGTCAAGAAATGGAAAATTAATGTGGATGCAGGATACTTAGCTGGTAAGGCTCGAGGAGGAGCTGTTCTACGTGACCGAAGAGGAGGATTTGTAATGGCGATTTGCTTCCCGGTATGTGCAACATCCTCCTTGGAGACTGAATTGAAGGCCATCCTTTCCGCTACTCGTTGGGCGATGGAGGAGGGGCTTGCTGATTTTTCAGGTGGAATCAGATTCTACGTTGGCTATGGAGTATATTGTGGGCAAGAAGAAGAGTAAATGGGCGATTCATATTCAGGAAGTCACAGACCTAGCTTTTAGGAAAGGGGTGGATTTCGGACAGATGAAAAGGGAATGCAACTGGGCTGCGCATCATATGGCCCAATTCCAGACGGACGGGTTAAAGGTTTTTTCTGGACTGGATCAGCTTCCTACTCCTGCAAAAAGAGCCTTTTGGATGGATTTTTTTGGTATTCCCTCTATTAGATTGTAATTTGACTTTATCAAGTAAGGTTTGGTCCCCTTGATTTTGTAATTTCTTCTATTTCTAATAATATCTGGTAAATGTCCCCTGACATTTACCCCACTGATTTTGGTGATTTGCCTTCCGGGGTAAAAAAAGGGTGGAAACACTTTAGTGACTAGGTATTTGAGACTGACTTGACCTGTTCTGATTATCAATGAAGTGTACAATAAGTATGCTCTCCATTTCTCAATGGCATCAAGATTGCTAAAAATTCCTTCTCATATATGGACAATCCCAAGTTTAAGTCCCAAAGCTTTGCTTACATATGCTAAAAGATGACCCTCTTGCATTAAGAGTCTAAGACTACTCCCAACCTTCCAGCTATAAAACATGAAGAATACACATTGTCCTTTTTAGCTCTTTAAATGCCCTTTGTGCTTCTTCATTCTATTTGAACATTCCTTTTTTGTTAGATCAATTAGAGGTTTAGCTTTAGTTTCATGTCTGGAGCAAAATTTTCAAAAATATTGAGTCACTCATAGGAATCTTCTTAACGCTTTAAAGTCAAAAGGAATTGGCCATTCCATGATGCTCTTAACCTTTAGAGGATCCACATCCACTCCTTTAGAACTGATTATATATATGTCTTAAATACTCTCCCTACGGAATTCTAAATATGCACTTGGATTTCTTGACAAAAAGGTATGTTACTCCAGCTACTTGATATCATCAACGAACTCTAACACAAATGGCCTCAAATGATCTTTTGGAATGTGGCTAGAGCATTAGTTAGTCCAAACGAAATAACAACAAACTCATACAATCCACTAGAAGTAGTGAAGGCAGTTTTCTCACTATCCTCAATTTTCATTTTGATCACCTGATGGTATCATGCTCCTAAATCAATCTTAGAATATATCGTGGCCCCATGTAACTCATCCAGTAAATCATCAATTAGAGGAATGGGACATTTATTTTTGTTGATAATTGCATTCTTTTTAACTAGGAGCACAAGACTTGAATATGGATATGAATAGAATTTGTTTGAAGGTTTCTCTCTAGCTTTCAGATTAATTTGCTGCTTGCAGTTTCTTAAATGAGGCAATTCTAGGGTTTTAAGATCGAAGGGAATTCGGAGAACGGGGTTATTTATACTTACAGTTCGAAATTTGGCCAAAATAGCCTTTCATCTCAGCCACACGCACAGTCGTGCATACCCCACTTCTCGGTCACACGCATGGTCGTGCGTACGTCGTCCATGTCACCATGCACACACACCTGCAGCTACTCCAAAAATTTTAAGGCACCCACACCGTGCAGCTCCTCAATTTTTGCTCCTTTTCTTGCACACTTGGACACACCCTTGATCCCAAACACCAAACCCAACATGATAAACTATCTAGAAACTTTCTAAACGATGTGGATCATAGATTTAAATTTTTCCTCAAATTCTTGGGGTATTAGATATTCGTCTTCACTGTCTCCCTTGCTCTCTACTGTGATGCTCCCCCTGCTCTCATATGCATTGCTATGATTAAGCTAGTAAAAGAAGGCACTCATAATAGGAAATGGAGACATAGAGATTGAGAAGGAGAAGAAGTTTTAGGAAGGAAATGTATTGACATCCAAACCGTCTACCCTATTTACAACCTTCAACGACTATATATCAGCACTACCAACTAACTACCAACCTTTTTCTAACCGTAGATAAGATGATGATATGTCACAACCTTATTTATTACACGCCATTAAAAATGAAGTAAATGGATTAGCTGCAGAGCCGATTTTTAGCATGTTCAACATGTTCTACAGAACATGGCCTTCCAATTTATGGGGCCTTGATATAAAAAAAAAATATTAGCATTACATAGTAATAATATATATTAATACTAATCAGTAAAATAAAGTTTTTTATAAGTCCTTTTACTCCTGTTTTATTCAAATTGATTGAGTGATGAATTTTGTTGCTTTAAATCAAGTATTAAGTGATTTTTAGAAATTTTTATTACATTGATGAATATTCATTTGATTTCAATATAAGTATATAGATTGAGGTTTTTTAAAAAGTTTTATATTAATATTGGGCCTCGATTTTGCGTTTGAAAAGAGGCCTCCAAATTCATTAGACTGCTCAGATTAGCATGTCATCCAGTTCTGCACTAAAGATTTAATCTCGACAGAAAATGAATTGAGCAAATGAGGAGGTAAAATTAATTTAAAACAAATTAGGATGGAAATAAGAGATAATGAAGTCGATAGATGTACGAGAAAAAAATAAGTTGCTCAAAGCCACAGGAACACATAGTTGACTTTTCCATTTTTAATACTCCGTGTCCATATATTTGGAGGCAGAGGAGTTAATGGACATGGAATGGTAGCTGAAATATATAGTCCAACCGGCAAGTGAAACACACAAGTTAAACTACCCGACACACACACACACACATAAATCTTACAAAACCTTTTTGTGTATAAATATAAATATCTCAAATTTCAACTTTGATTCTTGGAAAATAAGTGGTTTTGTGGTCAACTATAGCTTTGTTTTTGGAATTGGGTTAGCAGGTAGCCATGAGTGTGAGAAGCCATGGAGGCATAAGAAGGACCCTGTATCTGCTCTTCCTTGGTCAGCTCACATCTTTTTTCATGTCACTTATGAGCTTCACTTCTTCTCTGGTAGCCGATCTTGGTAAGTTCATAGTTACTAAATAATTCTTGATTTGTGCCTGGGAATATGGAATTATTAAGAATCTAGTAGGATTGACTGGTTGAAGACTTCATATACTACGGTATTACTAACTCTATTGAACAGTGATTTCGATCGGTATAACGTTACGAAAGTTATAGACTTTTATGAAAGTATTTTCAACAAAAAAACGTCCTCATATCATCTTTATATTATACCCCGTAAGTTAATTTGCTATAATGAAGCCGGTATGAGATGACTTAATCGGGATTGAGCGGAATTTAACTAATTAAACAAAGGATTGATCGATAAATCTTTTTCTTCTTCTATTATTAGGTGCGGACACTCCACTGACTTTGTCATTCTTTTCTTACTTGTTGTTGTCATTGGTGTACGGAAGCCTCTTCATTTTTAGGCGCCAGAAACTCATGGTATGTTAGATTAATCTTTATAGTTCAATTTGAGTTTATCTTAACTAATATCTATATATGTTGAGGTTATAAAATGGTTAATTAATTGCATGCAGGTTCCCTGGTATTGGTATCTTCTCTTAGGCTTTGCTGATGTCCAAGGAAACTATCTTGGTAAGGCCATATATAGCTACATTACTTAAAAAGTTGCTAACTTTAGTATAATACAGAATATATGGAATAATAAAAAAATGAAATCTTTAGCTTTCTGAGAGCCCCACTTTCCCCTTCCCTGCCAGGGCCTGCACTCCATCCAGAAATGCCCCATTGTGATATTTGCACACTTACTTTTTTTGAAGTGTATTTGGATAATAATTGAGTTGTAAACTTAACTTGCAGTCAACAAGGCTTACCAATACTCGTCAATTACAAGTGTGACAATGCTGGACTGTTGGACAATCCCATGGGTGATATTGCTGACTTGGATCTTCCTCGGAACCCGATACTCCCTATGGCAGTTCTTTGGTTCCGCTGTCTGTGTTTCCGGGCTAGGCCTAGTCCTCCTATCTGATTCCGGGGTGAGCGGAGGAGGTAATCTTTCATTCTTTCATTCTCCTAATCTCCTACTTTCATGCTACTGAATCGGATCGTGTAGTTTCACTCTTGAACCATTTAGTACTGTCCAATTTTGAAATGAGAGGGTACTGAACCCATTCCAAAAATGCAAAAATCTAGAAACTGTTTACTGATGAATTTGAAACACCAAAGGTGAAAAGAAAAGAAAGGAAAAGAAAAGAAAGAAGCAAAATGTAAAAGATAAGTTTAAAGGCAAAAGTATAACCTGAGATTGCAAAAGAACTAATTTGTGTATGTTATAGGTAGATAGTAGATGTCTAGTAGGCCTAGTCAATTCTGTATGTGCATCAGCTAGTAAGTCCAATTATTATTATAAAGAATAGGTAAAATAGATAGATTAATATCATCAATTAATAGCAATAGCATTACTAACAAAAATAAAACTATAAAAATTACTCCACATATGTGATCAAACGGCCCGTTCGGTATAACCGGTCAGCAAAAGTGTGTAACAGTCCAGTTTGAGAAAGGTTTGGCATCAATTCAGTACGAAAAGAGAACGTCTCATTTTATTGATTTTGTACAATTACGGTCCAAGACTATTCTTTTTCTGTATTTTTGCCCACACTATATGTAGAGATTGAAATATTACGCCTCTATGTACTAAGCTAAACCAATAACATCTCTATACCCAGGGTTTTCTGTGGTTCTCTGAATATTCTAACTGTTTATTTCTATAATTATTAGTGACATAGGATTTGAAATTCAAGTTTATGTGTCAACAAAAGACAGAAATTCTACTATTTGTATGGAGTAAAACCAAACAGCACTATTGTTCTCTTTGGATTGAATTTCTTCAATGTTGAAATAAATTGGCCTGATTGAATAACCTTGATCAATTTTTTTTAGCTGGTTTTGGTTGATGTGTAATACAATTAAAAATATAACATATGGCATTCACGCATATTACACCAACTTTGGGTAATGAAAATGGAGTTGATTCACTCAGTTAGCTTAGATTGATACTATCAAATACATCTCGAAACGTAGTATATCAAATTATTTACCCAGATTCATCTCAATCCAAACAGAGCAAAAATTTGCAACTACATTTATTTCAGGTGGCTCTAGACCTCTTCTGGGAGATGCATTAGTAATTATGGGAACACTTTTCTTCGCATTGAGTAATGTTGGTGAGGTTAGTGAATCCAACTCCTCTTGGTTGCCTTGTAATTATAGGGAAATATTAGTATTTTGATGATTATGTAAAGCCTCAAACTTGTATTTGAGACAGGAGTTTTGTGTGAAGAAGAAAGATCTGGTTGAAGTTATCTCAATGATGTCAATATCTGGGTTACTAGTGAGCATTTGTCAGATGTATCCTTTTATTACTCTACAGACATTTCATCAACTAATTTGAGTATCAAGTCATTTGTTTCTTGTCAATAATCTATTAGAGCTATCATGGAAAGGAAGAGTCTAGAGTCGGTGAAATGGTCTGCAGAAATTGTAAGAAAAATCGTAATCATCGGTGTCATTAATGTTGTTTAAACTGACTATATTAACAGAGAGTGCTGTGAAATTTTCCCCAGAGTCTGGCATTTGCTGGTTATCCTTTTGCAGCCTTTCTGTTCTACTCATTTGTTCCTTTTGTTCTAAAGGTGAATACTTTTACGCCTTCTTTTGTGTGTATGTTCAAGATAAACTCTTTTGTTTACACAATATGACTCTATACTCAAATCCCATTGATGGAATGGCCTGTTCTGTGATACAGATGAGCGGATCCACACTGTTATGTTTGTCTCTTCTAACTTCGGATATGTGGGCAGCTGTCATCCGAATATTTTTCTACAAGCAGAAGGCAATATTACTTTAAATATTAGTCATCCTCTGATTTTGTTGAAATCTTGAATACTGGCCATTCTAAAGTAACAATGATCTCTCACTGAAATGCAGATTGACTGGCTATACTATCTAGCTTTCGTGCTAGTAGTTATTGGACTTGTTGTATACTCGAAAACGTAATCCCTCTATCTTCTCATTTGCATCTTCAGCCAAACTGGACACTCCTTTAGTTTTAACTGTGTTTGCTTAACTTGGTTTTCCCGAACCCCGTTTGGCTGACTTATTATCTAAAATAGACTGATATTAGAATTATAATTTCATACATGGCATGACAGCGAGAAGGGACGGGTTTGTGCAGCAGAGAGTGAGGATGGTTTGGCGTACGAAATTCTGGATGGAGAGTGCACAGATGCAAGAAAAGATACTGCGGATGTCGTTGATGTTTGAAGGGCTTGTGTTGTTTCTTGGCAGCTCTTCATAGAATTGAATTGCAGCACATCCCTATATTTGATAAAGAAATGCCAACACTTGAGGAAGCATGGATATACTAGAACTTGTGTCACCTTTGGCTGTTTGTATTCCTCTAGGTGGCCATATGCAAATTGCTTTTCCTTGTTGTTGGCCTTGATAGGAATTATTCATCTCTAAGTAGATAATATAAGCTTTTTAAGAATGTAAAATGATACGATACTCAGTATAAGTTATTTTCTTGTGGAAGTGTCTCACACCTAAGATTGGATTTATGTGAGTTTTCAACCTGAGAAAGTGGCGAGAACACAGATTATTCTTCCCCTCTTTGTATTCTGAAACCATCAAGCTATTCAAAATCCAACGACAACACCATTTCCGAGTTTCCTTTGATCAAATTCCACGTCAAAGAGGCCAGTTGAGGGTGGAATTCGTTTCATTTCAATGAGAAATTATCCAAAATAGGACTAAAAATGTTTGTATATTCCAAAATAGGACTATCATGTTTTTATTCTTAAAATAGGATTAATTATTGTCATGTTTTGGCAGTACCAGATTTTAAACATGTCAGTATTTTCCAAACTTGACGGTAATTACTCATATTTTGGGAATAAAAACATGTCAGTCCTATTTTGGAATTTTCAAACTTTTTACTCCTATTTCGGGAATTTTCCCCATTTTAATTCATCAATTTATATACCTATTCTATGGTTTCGAAAACTGGAATAGAAAAACCTAGGAAAAAAGAGTAGATTTGGAAAACTTGCGTTCAGATAAGTTTACATTTAGAGCCCAACTTTTCAACCAAAAGCGTAACTTTTGATTTTACGCGCCGAATTTTCGTTTTAACTATTTTTTGATATAATTTTTTCTTTATTTTATTAATAAAATATATTTTAAACATAATTTTTTTCATAAATCAACAAAATCGGTCACTACAACAACTTCAACCAAAACTTCATAAGTTTCAGCAGAGTCAGCCGATTCAGCCGATTTCAACGTTAACAAACGGACTCTTAAAAAATGGAAACATGTAAACTGAAAAACTGAAAAAATGGAAACAGAAACCAAAAACAAAAAACCTGAGAAATAAATAAAAGAGCTTCACATGAGGTAATAGTTGACTTTTCCATAGTCAAAAGATCGATATAATTTAAATACTCACCACATCCCACTATTGTTGTCTCATTTTTCAAATTTTTGTCCGTTCTATTAAATTTGTTTCATATCATATTTGATAATATTTATGTCTCTCTAATTTATTATTATAATTACACTTTTGTTAAAGTGGAAGGAGGTTGTATTATTCTGAAGTGGAAAGAGGTAGTATTATTAATTAAAATGTACGTACAAATATGAAGACTTCATATACTACGCATTACTAACTCAGTCATTTTTTACTTTTCAATGGATTGGATTAGTATGGAGTATAATGTTAAGAAAAAGTAAGATTATAGTAAGTTAGTATTGACTAGAAGTTCATTTTAATTATTTTTCATGTAATTCTTTCTTTATTTTATTAATATAATATATTTTAAATATTTTTATTCATCCGTAATTTCATAGATTGAGCTGAATCACCCAATACAATTAAACAGATAATTGATCTATATTTCTGCTTCTACTATTAGGTGCCCACACTTGACACTCCACTGACTTTGTCATTCTTTTGTTACTTGTTGTCATTGGTGTACGGAAGCCTCTTCATTTTTAGGCGCCACATACTCATGGTATGCTAGATCCATTAATTAAGGGTCATGCTATGGTGCCTTTGAAAATTTGGAAGGTATGGTGCATCTCATTGTGTGGGCAAATGAAATAGTGACACATGGAAATAGTGGGACATGAAATAATGTCATTAATGAATTGACTTGAAATGCTATTGGGTGATAAAGGCAAATGTATGGTACACTCCAAATTTGAAGAGGTACCATAGAAATCTCCATTAATTAATCTTCATATTACAATTTGAATTGATCTTAATAAATATCTATATATATATATTGAAGTTAAATAGGTAATTAATTATATTGCATGCAGGTTCCCTGGTATTGGTATCTTCTCATAGGATTTGCTGATGTCCAAGGAAACATTCTTTGTAAGGCCATATAGAGCTGAGGAGGTGATCTTTCATTCTTTCATACTCCTAATCTCTTGATAAGGATCTGGCTAGTCTAAATAATTAGAATAAATTTTACGGGCAAGTTTATTCTAGAAGACCTAAATAGACTAGCGAGTTATTAGTTGGAGGTTGTTAGTGACTAATAATTACCTTCTGTTTGTAGAAGGTTATAAATACAATAATGCTGCTGTGGGAATGCAGGCTGTTTTTAGACATTTTGTCTGGGACTGGGAAGTTGGAGTTCTATCTCCTTCTCTGGGACAATTGTGTACGGTTTAAATCCTTTGAATGAGATTCGGTTTTCTTTTCTTTGTTCTTAATCTTCTGTGATTAATTCTGGAATTGCGAAGGATCTATCATCTCCTGCTTTTATGTTACTGAATCGGATCATGTACTTTCACTCTTGAACCATTTAGTACCGTCAAAATTTGAAATGAGAGGGTACTGAACCCATTTCAAAAAATGCGAAAATCTAGAAATTATTTAGAGATGATTTTTTTTGAAAAGCTTCCTAACCTATTCTTGAACGGGGATGAAATTCGAACCTGTGACCTCCTACTTGGAGTGTCACAGTGATGATATAAGACCACAAGGTACTTGACATTTACAAATGAATTTAAAACACCAAAAGTGAAAAGAAAAGAAGAAAAATGTAAAAGATAAGTTTAAGACAAAAATAACCTAAAAATGCAAAACAACTAATTTGTGCATGTTGTATAGGTAAATCTATATTACCGTGTCTAAATGTACTAGGCTAGAACCATAATGTTTCTATACCAAGGGTTTTCTATGGTGCTATGAAATTTCTAACTGTTTATTTCTATAATTATTAGTGACATAAGATTTGGAATTCAAGTGTATGTGATAGAGACCTAGATAGTACTAAAAATAAGAATAATGGCGGTCTTTTAATATTGTAGAATAAAAGGGGTTTAAGCCCTGAAATTAATAGAACTGGGCTGGCCCATATGGAAAAGAATAAATATGAGTGAGGGGAGTAGAATTGGCAGGCAGAAATTGGGATAGGCTTTGGCTTGGGAGAGGGGACTGCTCGAAGTGTCTCACTGTATCTTTCCTTTTCAGTCTATCAATTTCATCTAATATACATCCGTTTACCGTCAAATTTCTGAGTACCTAACATTGGTATCAGAGCAGTCCGATCCTGCGGACTGTGAATGAGATTGACGCGTTCAAAAATGGAACATCGAGTTGAGAATCTCGAACAAAGTGTTAACCACATTGAGCAGAATCTGGAACGCATTTGTACAGAGGTGCACACGATCTCAGACAAGTTGGATGGAGTGATGGCCGAACTGCGCCTTATCGCGACCAACCAGAGTCATCGACGATCCAGGGGGAGGTAGCGTACGACTAAGCGAACGGGTACACGTACTCGGACAAGGGAGTCACACTCTGGAGGTAATTCTCACAGTGCGTCAGTTTCGTCTCATGAACCAGGTGATACGCGTGTCAACCGTGGATTTGAGAGGACGGGAAGGAAGGTAGATCTGCCTCTTTTCAACGGAGTTGATGTTCATGGTTGAATTATTAGAGTGGAACGCTTCTTCAAGTTGAATTAGGTGCATGATCAGGAAAAAGTGGAGCTGGTTGTCCTGCCCATGGAGGAAAAAGTCTTGAACTCGTTCCAGTGGTGGGAGAAACAAAATGAGGAGAAAACTTGGGAGGAATTTAAAGGAGCACTAATACGGAGATTTCAACCAGAACTGCTGCAGAATCCTTATGGACCGATGCTAAGCATTAAACAAATTGGATTGGTAATGGAATATAGAGAACGTTTTGAATTGGAGGTAGGTCCAATGAAGCATATTGATGAGGAAATACTCATAGGAATTTACCTTAATGGCCTGAAGGAAGAAGTGAAGGCTGAGCTCAAATTGTACCCAAATGCTACTCTGCCTGAACTGATGGATATCTCGCTGGTGTTAGAAGGGAAGAATGCTGCATTTTGAGGGGAAAAATACAAGGAGGGGGACCAGAGGAGTGGAAAGGAGAAGGGAGAGGCACTGAAGAAACCACAACAATGGATAGATGGCAGCAAATGGAGATCCCAAACCAATATTCAAGCGTCTCAGGAAAAATCGGGAGTTGAGCCTAAGGTGGGAGTTAAACCGGATCTCAATAATAACTGGAAGGGTGGCCAGAGGCTAACACAAGCAGAATTACAAGACAGAAGCAAGAAGGAGCTATGTTTCAAATGCGGGGAAAGATGGGGCAAGGATCATGTGTGCAAAATGAAATACTACCAGTTTATTCTCACGGAGGGGCCTGAGGAAGAAGCAGATACTATGGATTCAGAAGTGAATTTGAAAGAGGCAGATATCTCCCTAGAACCGCAACAAATGCAACTGTCAGCCATGAGCAAACAGGGGATCACTACATAGAAGATTTTCAAGTTGGAAGGGAAATTGATGGAAAAGGGGTTAAACAGATCTGTGCTGATCCTGATTGACAGTGGAGCCACCCATAATTTCATATCACAAGCCACAATGGAGGAATTACAATTGCCATACATCCAAATTGATGGATTTCAGGTGGAATTGGGTAATGGGGACAGAGTGAGCAACAATAGGAGGTGTGTGGGATTGCAGGTTGGGTGCAAGGCCTTAATATTACACAAAACTTCTACCGGTTGGAGCTGGGAGGGACAGATTTAGTGTTTGGGGTTGAATGGCTTGCTAGTTTGAGGAATGTAGAGATCAATTTCCAGGATCTCACACTTCAGTGGTGGGAAGAAGGGAGAATAAAGAACCTAAAAGGGGAATGCATGAACAAACCTCAACATTGGGTGGGAGAATTGAAAGGAAGGACACCTACCAGTAATGTCAAGAGAGGTACAAACAACCAATTTTTGATTTTAGACTGTTGGTATGATCTTCAGGTTTTGAATATGAAAGAGCCTAAAGATGGTCACAACTTATTTTCCAAGCATGATGATCCTGTTTCATTCATGCAAATCTGTATCAAGTTGTTGTGGCAAGATTTCCTATTTTCTGAGAAGTCAATGGACAAAAACAATGCTTCCATAGACTCATCTTTTAAACAGCCAAGTATAGTAGAATTTAATGGGAACAGTTCTGCGGGATGTTTGATTGATCTTGGGAAGTGTATGGTTATGTATTTGAAAGAGCTTGGGGTTAAAAGGGACTTGAAGATAGCCGAAAAATATTTTCCAGGGGCTGCTAATGGGGGTCAACAAGCAATCTACACTTGTATTTCCTCTATGATGCAATTCAAACAG